GAGCAAGCTGCTCTAGTGGAAGGTGTCCCTGCCCGTGGCAGGGGTTGGAGCTGGATGAGCTTTAAGGTCCCTTCCAACACAAACCAGGCTGGGATTCTATGAATCGTCTTATGCTTTTGGTACCAGGTAATTTACAGCAAAGGCACTTGCTGAGCTTCACCTCGGGTTTCATGAGTTTAATCCCTCTTGGTAGATCTTTCCTCCTGTGCATGTATCATGAACAGGGACGCTGGGGATGAACACTTCATTAGGGACTGTAGTGACAGGACAAGAGGTAATGGGTTAAAACTGAAACAGAGGAAGTTTAGATTGGATATAAGGAAGAAGTTCTTTACTCTAAGGGTGGTGAGCCACTGGAATGGGTTGCCCAGGCAGGTTGTGAATGCTCCATCCCTGGCAGTGTTCAAGACCAGGTTGGACGAAGCCTCGGGTGCCATGGTTTAGTGTGAGGTGTCCCTGCTCATGGCAGGGGGGTTGGAACTGGGGGATCTTAAGATCCTCTCCAACCCTAACTGTTCTATGATTCTATCAGCTCCTTTCCAGCTGATTTGTGAGGCTGACCTCTGTTGCAAGGGGATGAAGTGCAGCTTATGCACCATGTGAACTGTTTCCCTCACTCGCCTGAGCCCCTTTGTTTCATGGTCTGCTGGTCCATGCAGAGTGAGAAAGGTGAAGCTGCCCTTGTCAAGCCCCTCAAGCTGTTACATGCCCTTTGAGCCCCATCAGGCTCCTGTTTCCATCCAGGCTTGCCTCCTGTCACTGGCCTGTTGCTCATTTTAGTGTATCTTTATTGAGACGCAGTGACCAGAACTGAGCACAATGTTCAGGGTACATCTACACTGGCGGTATAAGGAGGTCTTCTTGTTTCTGCTTCATTCGTATCCTGCTTGAGCCCCATGTTGTTACCAGACTGTTCATGGTAACTCCCAAATCCCTCTTCTGCATGGTGGGAGAGTCATCAACACATGGTGTGCTCTTCCCTGTGGCAATAATCCAATAGTTGGTGACACAGAAACCCACCAGCCACTTTTTGCTATGGCACTCAGTGCTATTAGGTCCTTCAGGAGCCCTCTGATTTATGACGTTGGGTGTTCCAGTGGCACTGGGTGTTTTAGTGGCCTCAACACCAGCGCCATCCACTTCTCCACATCATTTATCACTGTGTTGAATGGATACTCTGGCACTTCCTAATGACCTCCCTTTGAGGGAAAGATTTATTCCTACCCTTGCTTTGAACACGTATTAGTCTGTAACAGAAGCTGGCTGTTAATGCAGAGACAGCCCAGGTCCCTGTGAGCCTGGCTGGTGCAAGCTCAGGTGTCCTCTGTCAACCAGGACTCTTCACCCACCTCTTCCAAAGATGCCAACAAATCTGCAACTTCCCCACCTTGCAAATGTCAGTTCAGCTCAGCTCTGAAGAGCACTCAGCTCTCTGCCGGGTCTTGCATGTAACGATTGCTGTGATTCTGCCTGCACCGCATTCACCTTCACACACCTAAAAGCTCCTGTCACAGTTTCTACCTTCCCTTCCTCTGATCCCGTATTCATCTGAAGCAGTAGTTAACCAACAGCAGCTAACAAAGCAAGCAATTTCGTATCTGAGTTCCTCTGGCACTCCAGGGTGAATCCCGTCTGGGCCTGACATTCTCTACATGTTCCTTTTATTGATTTGTTCTAAAAATCTCTTCCACTGGCATTTCAATTTGAAGGAGTTGGGCTGACTCATGTCCTGTAGCAGGAATTTCATTGTGGAGCCTCTGTGCTCCTCCACAGCAAGAGGAGCTCATTGAGCATTGCTGCTGTGGTTGTTTTGATGCCAGAGCTGGGCATTTTCTGTGCTCTTGCGTGGCAGAACCACGCTGCTGCTCTCTGTTTGCCTTCCTGCTCTTTTATTCTAACAAGGAGCAAATGAAGGAATGGCTGGGTCAAATAAGAGCTATGAGCTTCCTTGGATGTAAAGGTCCTGCAGGCAAAAGCAGGGAGCAAACAGGTGCCCTGCTCCATCTCCACCATGGGTGTATTGACATGCATCAGTCCCAGTAAAGGAACTGGTGGATCTGCTCAGCAGATCCGGGCAGATCCAGTCCTGCCCAGCCAGGTAGCATCCCACCAGATCTGTGCTCCAGGGAGGCATATCCATGAGATGGCACCTCCCATGCTTTTTGGATTTGATAGAAAAACAACCTTTTCTCCAACTGACTGAAATTTCACTGACCACCAGTGCTGAGGCTGTGCCCTGTGGCTTCCTGCCCGTGCTGTAGTGCTGGACATGACCGAAGCCCTGGTTCAGTGGTGAAGAACCTTAACCATGAGCCCAGATGTTCCCAAAAAGGCAACAGAGCGCAGACGACGGAGCTGCTGGATTCCTTCCTCCTCTCCCAAACATAAACAGAGAAGTGGACTTGCATCCTGAGAGGGGGAGGAAGGAAGCATTGCTTGTGCTCTGGAGGACCAGAGCAGCTGGCTGAGGCTGTCTGGGCCTTTGTGCTATTCTCAATGGGGGGAACTGCACGAGTCATCTGTCCCAGCCAGCTCTTGGCTTGTTTATGCTGCAAAGCATCGTGCTGTGGGGTGAACTCTCAGCACTCAGTACCATCTATTACCACCTATCCTCTACCAGTGAAACAGTGCTCACAGCAGCAGATGAGAGAGAGAACTTTATTGATTATAAAAACAACCCCTGCTCACAAAACACCATTACAGTAAGGCAGTAAAGTTATTGGTCTTAACATACCTAATGACAAGGTTTCATGGCCGCACGACCGTGAGTCCTGACTCTTCCCGCAGTGAGCAGTCTACTGCTGTGCCCTGCACCAAAATATTCCAGAAACTCAGTGGCTTCTTGCAGGCTGAGAGAACTGAGGATATTTTAGAGCAAAACCATGGGAATTCAGCTTGGGAAATCTCCTACGGAACAGTCACTGCGACTGAAAGAAAACAGGGAGATTGCGGAAAGAAATCCTGGAGTTAAGCAACACAAAAGAATTTTGGGCCTTCAGCTGAAACAAATCTAAGCAATGCATCTCTCCTTCCTGGGTTTGAAGCCCAGCTCTCACCCCCATCCTGCCCCAGGACACAGTTGTTTGTCAGAGAAAAAAGACTAATGACTTAGCTGGCTGAGGAAGGAGACTTGTCTCAGTGATTGAGTAGACCTGGACTGAGGACCACACGTCCCAGGCTGTGGAGGGTATTGATTATCTTCTGGAAGCAGCAGGATAAGTGCATCAGGATGGGGCCCCTCGTTTCAGAGGTCACTTTGTAAGTCAGAGCCACGTAATTATTATCATGACACCATCTGATTGGGACTGCTGTGCTTTGTGAACAGACATCAGGGCCTTGTTTTGCTGCTCTTTGTCTCACAAGCCTGGAGGTCACTTCAAACCTCCCAGGGGTTCCAGGTTACACGTTGGAAATGCAGCAGTGTGGGGCTGGAAGGCAGCATCTGTGCACTGCGTCATGGAGTCTTGTTTACCAACTGCAAAGCTCTACCTTAAAAACAAGAACCCCCATTTCCTTCCCTGCTGTCTGATGAGGAAGCTATTCCAGGCTCACCCTGCTATGGGGTCCTTCCTTTAATTTCCCAGTATATGTTTATTAATGGACAGTAATAATCACTTCTTTTGCCAACACTATTTTAAGCATAGAGATTTCCTTTGTTGGTGCTTAACTCCTCAAAATACTGATAGGTTGCAGTCGGTTCCCTGGTGAGCTTCTGCTTCCTTAGGCTAAGCAACCCCTACCTCTTGTGGTCTCAATCACGTAAGCCTGGGCCCATTCCTGTTTTCATCTCAACACTTTTCTCTGTGCTTCTACCATTGCAGATCCTCCTTCCTAAGGATGGATAATCAGATTTCTATGTAATATCCCTAACCAGATCTTGCCAGACCTATTAACAATACCAGGGCTGTGTCTTCATGCCAACAGGGAATACCTTGACCAACACACTATGATTTTGGGGCAGAATCACATTACTGGTACACTGAGCCTGCAGCCACCACCCACGCCAGCTCCCACTGCCCATCTGTTTCCAATTGATGAACGATTATTTTATAGCTCAGTTTTCTGTTCTTAGTCTTCAACCATCCAGCTGTGCATTTTATAATCCAGAATTTCATTCTACTTCTGTTACTGTTTTCACAATAACCCATTTCTTTTCAGTCTCAACATGCCTACTTAGGAGCAAATTCCCACCCTAGAGGGGCCCTTCAGGGAAGTCCATAACTGACCTTCTCTCTGGCCAACACCTCCCCCTTGAAAGCTTTCCATTGTTGTCTCCCCTTTAGCCAGTCCTGACCCTCACTCTGCTAACCATTTAGTGAAGTGTCACTTGAGGCTGCAACAAATGAGAAAGCAAAGTAATCCTAATGGTTATTGTATTTAAAAAGCAAAACAAAAATCCAGTAGATAGAAACCAATTCTGGTTGGTTTGTTTTTTTTTAGCTGCTGGTTTGAATGATGCTGCTGGTAGCTTATCTCTAGACCTGTTCACAATCAGTCTTCTCACAGCTGGTTTCAGGAAGTCTCCTTATTTTGCAGCATTATTCCCACCCCTTTTCTCCCATGGTCTCCTCTACTCCACATCTCACTAGCAGTCCTTGTTCTCACTCCCTGCAGAGCTGGCCCTCAAGAGGCTGACGGCTGCTGACCCAGCATGGGTGGCTCGGCTCTCCTTGCCACTCACCAGCAGTTACAAGGACAACGTCTTCTCCCCTGACTCTCTGCATTCACCTCAGGATGAGGAAGCTGCAAGGCAGGAGAAACCAAGGACCTTTGAGACCTTTGGCAAAGGTGCTGGGGCTGACTCGAATGCTGCTGGGACAAGGCTGGCCAGCACCTTCCTTTCCGAAATGAGCACCCTCTTTGAAATGATTTTGTCCCAGAAGGTCCAAGTCCACAATGAAACAGGCTCGGGGCTTCTGCGGCAGCTGTCGGCACGTGGGAAGAGCCTTGGACTGGAAGATGATGCTCCTGTTCTGTAGGCAGCTTGGTGGCTGTGATAAGGAGATAAAGAGTCAGACTTCTTTCTGCATCTGGGGTGCACATGTGGGCTTTGACTGTGTCACTGTATTACCTGTGTCTACACTGATCACAACAGGCATATTTCTTCCTTTGTTTCACCCCATCGAATTTCTCTACAACTGATTTCACCTTGTTTACTTCCCTTCTACCTGCCCATTCTGGCATTTCCAGCTTTCCTCCCCTTTCATCCTCATCTTACACTTTACTTACCATCACACTCAAGTCACACAAGAGCAGGAAGGCCCTTTCCTCCCAGGGCAGGCTGACTGAGGGGATGGGCTTGTTAGTTTAACCACAAGCACAACCCAGTCAGCTACATCCATGTGATCACGGACTGTGCACCATGGACGATGAAATACTGCAGTCCTGGAGTCTGCAGCATGCTGCAGAGTTGGGCTCCAGGATCTCAGTTCTTATTTAAATAAAATTGTTGGTTTTTAAACACTACCATCTCTGGAGCAAAGTGCAGTGTATCTGACATGATGATATAGCTGCAGAAAGCCTGTAATGGCATCTCAGAAAGAGGAGATCTGCCTCTTGTCTCCCACTGATGTTTTCAGCTTTTGTGGTTCTACAAGTGTGAACTTGGCGTTCTGTAAAATGCCCCAAAATCAGCACTGGCATCTCTCCTATGGCTGCACAAGGTGCCTACAGCGTCTTTCTCCATGCTCTCTTTTGAGGCCATTGGATTTTGGAGCAAAGTCCTTGCTCAGAAGCAGACAACAGATGGCTGGAGTCTGCCAAAGGTAATCTGGGAAAACAGAAGCGTGAAAACGCTGTTTTGGAATAGTCAAGTCACAAGTTTCAACCATACTACAGGTTTTCACTTTGATCTGTGTGTACGTGAGCTATAAGACAGTTTTAGGCTAATAGAATGTGTAGGAAAACTAAGGTACAGGTATTAGTAACAACAGAAGGAGCACACAGGTCTTGTTAACCATGGGGATTTGTACTTGCAGAGGTTGGAAAGACAACATAAGCATCTGGAGTGCATCTGCAGGCTTACACAGCAGTGCATGGATGGCAGGTAAGTGCTTCTGGATCATCCACACATGGCACTCTCTTCTGTACCACAGTCTGTGTCTTCCACCTAGGATACGAACCACCAGAATACATCTGGGGTGTGTTGGCAAAGCAGCTGTACAAGTGAGAGGAGAGTCAAGCTACAATAATGAGGGTAAGCCATGGCAGCAGGACACAACAGCATTGCTTGCAGAGTGACTACAAAAGGGAGGCTGAGAAGAGCTTTCCTCCACCGCAGTGCAGGGCCAGCAGTGGTTTATACACACTGCTTGCTTCCTTCACCAGCTCTACACTGAAAACACTGTCCTGGCTTCTCCATAGATGCTGCAGTTCACAACACAGGTTTATCCAAAGCTGATCTGCTCGTGGTAGGGCTGCTACATCAGGTGTCTTTGGGTGGTATTTTTGGCTTTTGTTTTACTGTTAAATTTAAAAATTATAGGAAGCACGACCCAACAGATGTGATCCTGGAGCATCTCAACTGTTGTACCTGTGTTTCTTGCCATGCAGCTAGAGGTGACAGTCCCCTTCTTTTAGTGTGGACACATACGAGCCACAGCAGCAGACAACCATACAGGTAATTTAAAGAAGAGGAAATGGGAAAGTTATCCTTTCCTGTTGGTCTTGGGACCAGATGACAAAAGCAACAGAGTAAGATTTCCCCAGGTAGACTCCTTAAGTATCCCAAATACCCACTGTTGTATTTAGAGACTCCAAAGTGATTTACAGATCACCCCATCTTTGGCAATGAACTACACTGATGGGTTTGCTCCAGCCTGCTTATGCTGCTGCGCTGCTAACAGAAGTACCTTGCTGTTCTGTTTCACAAACAAAACATTGCACCGAAACAATGACAGTGAGCCAAATTCTAACTGAGAGGCAGCTGTGCAAACCACAAGGGAGGCAGATCTGTGACTGTGAGGAGCTGGAGCCCTGTGGGATTCCTCTGCATCTTGGGAACACATACAGAGGACAAACACACCGCACAACCTTGCATCTTCCTCTGGAAATTTACTTTGATGTGCCTATTAAAGAACACAAAATACACTATAATAAGCAGGTTAAAAAGGAGACAAATTCCTCTCTCTCGGTTCAATTTCCTGATTCTGCAAACTATTTTCAACCCCCTACACAACCCTTACTCTGTCCTGACCAAGGCGTAAGCATGCTGAGGATTATCACAGAATAGGAAATCCACCCGAGGAATTTCCTGCTAATTGTATCCTGCTTGATAAAGGAAATGGTCTAAGAAAGTTTGGTCTGAGCAGAAAGAGAGACCAGACTAGAACAATCAGATGTGTTGAGCTCTGGCTGTGCCCCTCCCTTTGCTGAATGGAGACCACAGCAAGTTCAGGATGGGGCCATTGCCTTTGTTTTTCACAGCCTGATCTACACAAAGCACCAGAGCACCCTGGCTACAGGAAGCCGGACAGTTTGTACAGATGCCCTTGAACCAGTTTAAACTGGTGTGGACAAATGTCTTTTTTCCAGATTCAGCTGCCCCAGTGGAAGGAATTATCATACCAGCTGCTTGCCACTGTCTGCCTGACAGTGGTGGCTGCCCGCTGGGAGCATCCCTTATCCACTCCAGTGAAAATGAGCAGGCGTGCTTAGCAAACACACACAATATAAATTCTGAAGCAAACCTGGCTTGTTGTGACTCAAAGGGGTGTACCCATGGGAACAGCTCACTGCCAGAGCTGAAGGAATAAGAACTGGGGACCAAAGGACACTGAGAACAGTGCAGGATGGCTGAGGCCAGCCAGTATGCTCACCAGTACAGGTGGATCCATAAGCCATATCCCACAAAATCCTGTGCCCTAATAATAATTCACTCTTGCTTGCACAGGTCTGAAAGCAAATTAAACTGCCACAATGGCAATATAGAGAGAATCTCAGACTATGGGAATAGCTAGCCTTGAAGTGAGATCAAATTGCCTCAGAGGGTGCAGGCCAGGCCCATAACAAAGTTAGCTGCCAGCAACACCGTATGGTGGCTTGTAAACCTCACTGGGGGACTACGTGCAATATTCACAGGGCTACTGGAATGACAGCCCTAGACCACATCACTGTGGGATGGTGGAGCTCTATACAGAACTGTAAGAGCATAAAAAATGTCCTTGTATTGGAAGGTAGGGAGACAACATCGTGGAGTAAGAATATCACAAGGTTTATTCTCAAAACCTTGTTATTTAAAATTGCCTCCTGTTCCATTAACAGCCTTCTCTTTCCACTCACTGCCAGCCTGCTTCCAGCTCCACACAGACTAAGAAGGGCTGCCTTCCCTTCTGCCTGCTCGTTTCACTTACCTACTGCACTAGTAACAGCAGTGGTGGGGCTCCAAGCACTGCAATTCCAGTGGCCTTGCCCTATTTCCGAGGGCACGGCTCCATCCTGCACCACTGAGCATCATCATGTGGAGTCCGTCCGTGCTCCATGAGTGGGGCAGGGTTAGGGCAGATTGTCTTGGCTGGGTGGTGTGGTGGCCTACATGCACAGGCTCAATAGCCCAGAAACTGGGGCTAGAGGAAGAGGCTCTCATTCCAGAAGGGAATGGATGCTTCGTTTGCACATCTGAAAGTACATTAAACCGAGATATTAATGACACATCATTCTATGGGGAATGGTTTCTCTGTAGACACATAGAATATCAGGTTGGGAACTCAAGGATCACCTAGTCCAACTCTTCTAGGCAAAGCATGACCTAGACTAGATGTCCCAGCATGCTCCACTTCAGCTCAACTTGGAAACAGCTGGTAAGAAGAAGAATGAACTGAAATTGCTCCCTTCCCTTCAGCAGAGGACTCCTTTTTGCCATGGTTCTCTGCTACCCTTCCTCTGGCAGTACAGGCCCCACTTTTATGGGTTAGTTCCCCATGCAGTCCCACACACCCGTGTCCCCTGCTGCCCCTGGTACCTTCCACCTCCTCTTGTAACACTCGAAGTCTCTCCTGAGCGCTCCTGTTCCCTGCAGCAGCTGATTGCTGGTAGTGTCTCATTGCTTCCGCCAGGTTCTGCTGCACTCCAAGGCCCTTCTCATAGCAAACACCCACGTGGTACCTGCTTTGGGCATCCTAGCCACAGAGATAGCACAGCAATCAGCCCCACACGATGGAGAAGTGATGACAGCACATGAAAAGAGAACAGAGAGTCTTTAACACCTACTTTAAAGTTTACTCCTTTATCCCTCAGACCATATCTTCAGTAATTTAGTCCCTTCTCAGAGCACACAGTGAAGCAGAATTTCTTACCAGCTCCCTCTGACTCCACTCCTTCCTATCCTTTTCCAATAGGATTCACTGATTTCCTTCCACATCCAGGCCTGTGTCACAGGAACAAAGGAACAGCTGCCTCTGCAGAGCATCCCGATTGTCTCAGGGGTCAGAGCTAAGGGGATATGGGCAGCCTTGACTGCACCCACATCCTGATCACACCCAAACTCTGAGCACGCCCTGTGGACTGCCCAACTACAGTTCACACTGAAGTCTTGTACAAACATAACAAATGCCACAGAGGTACTTGCTGCCAAGGGTTGAAAGATTCCCCTTGGTAGCAACAGGTCAGCAGTGCACAACAGTGCATTACTGTCTTGCTCAGCCCCACTTGATTATATTCCAGAAGAAATCTCAAGCAGCAGAAATGAAGTCAAGTAAATAAGAGCTAGAGAAAAAGCACCTAAAACTACTAAAGACAGGTAACTGCTGAGAAGGAACTAGAAAGCAGAGGATGTCACTGTAAGTGTGTCAGTGAAGCCAAACCCAAACCTGTGATATGTTTACATGTTGGCTGTGCACTTTATCTTTGAGACCCAGTGGGAGAAAAAGGATCTCACATAGCATGAAAGCAAGATGATGGTCCTGAAGACACTGAAAAGGCAGCATGGGCTAGTGGTCACACAGACCTTTTCCAGCAAAAAGCCAGCAACAGAACTTGAAGTGTGTGACTGTCAGAAACATGATCTAAGCAGGGCTTTGCAAATAAAGAAGGAAAAAAAGCAAGTAACAAGTTTTAATAAAGCCATGAGAAATGAACATATTGCAAGTGTTGCTGTCTGAGATGGAGCTCGTAGAGGCAAGTAGAGAACTCAGTGAGTGGGTGCTTTGTAAAATGTTGCAAGTCTCAGCTTATGACAGCCATAAACTTCTCCAGAGATGAGATAAACACGTTGAAGGATTGGCACTTCAGATGTGACAAGAGACAGGGTGAAATAAGAAGCATTCCAGTAGCCGTCTCTCAGATGACGAACACCTCTAAGAAGAGACCACAAGGAGAAGCGATCCCCAGATTAGCATGGCATAAGTGACTGTGATATCCTTTGACATCTGAAGGTCAGACTCAGTTCTATAACCCTTTTCAATATGTTTTTCTATATTCTATGGTTGCACACACAGAATAAGGGAGGATAAAAAGTGGTAAGCAAAGTAGAACGCAGCTCTCTGAAGCACTGTTGTATTTGGAAGAACACTTGTCAGAGCTCTCAGTCTGAGAACAACAACCTGAAAGAGAAACACTGAACCCACGACTTCTTGTGCTTGTTTTCCCTTTCTGGAGTTGTAGCTGAATGGCGCTGTCCTTGCTTCACCCATATCCAGTGTTCTTTTACCCAACTAAACATAAACTCCTACTCCAGGGTATTGGGAAAAGAACGTACACATGGTCTATGCTCCCAGAAGAACGTGTGGGGGGGGCTGATGCACAAGCCTGTCACCAAAGATGAGGCTGTGGTACATCCACAGCCAGCATTCATTGGGAAGCAGAGACAGGGAAAGACGACTGGGTTCTGAGAACCATCATGGCTGTGACCAAAACACTGACCTACTGAGGGGCACCCCCGGGACCTGCAATTACCTGCTAGATTTCTGTTTTCTTACAAGGCCTTCAGTAAATGACACTTACTGTTACACTGAGCAGCATCCACATCTGAGGTCAGGCTGGAAAAAGGAGTCAATGATGCAGATTACGAGAGATCTTTAGCAGATTTGGAATTAAATCTTGTTATCATGGTATCTGAGCTGCTGTGGCCAAGTGCATTCTGAGAAGTGGGTGAAAACCGAGGTGGCAAAGTTTGCAAGTGATGTAATGTCACTCAGAGTGCTCAAACTTACTGTCAAGAATTAATCAGAGAAGATCTCACAAGACTTGAGAGTGGACAACACAATCGCAGAGGAAAACTTACTGTTGACAAATGCCAAGTAGTGCTTATAGAAAGAAATTTGTGAGTCACTGTGACAGTTCCCTGAAACCACCAAATCACTGCTCAGTGGCAAGCAAAAGGGCCAATAATATTAGGAATCATCAGAAGGCTATGCAGAACAAAGCAGAGGATCTCATTATGTCAGATCCCTGGCATACCTCCATTCTGAGCCCAGCTTTAGTCCAAGCACCTTAAAATGGTCAAAGAAGACCAAAGAAAAAATAGAAAGACTGACAAGCACAATGAAACAGCTTAACTACACGGAGAGACAAACTGAACTAGCACTCTGCAGCCTGCAAAAGAAATGACCTGGAGAAAACATACTAAAGGGGGACAGAACCACAAGTATTAGCCAGAAGAAAGAATAGCTATTCATTATTTTCCATTGCACAAAAGCTGTGGGAACTGAAGTTAAAATGACCAATTCTTCAGAAAAACCTAGCTATTACAATGCAGTGCAAGCTGAAAACGAGTGAACAATGTTGCAGTGCTGTAAAGAAACAGAAACCTGGCTGCAAGACGTGGGATGTCATTCTGCTGCTCCCCTAAGTGCTGCTGCGGGTTCAGGAGCAGGATTATGCCAAGACTGTGCCACTGCCCATCAAAAAAATATGCCACCAGGGGAAAGTGCAAGCAAGAAAATGATCTGGGATCTTGACAACACGAGGCGTGAAGAGAAACTGCAGCAATGAGGGAAGGCTGAATGGAGACTCGAGTATGTTAAAGGTTCCTGCAAAGAAACAGCAATAGTCTTTTCATCCTCTCTGCAGAAGGCAAGAAATAACAGGCCAATTTTGAAGAACAGATTTGAGATAGACACAGCAAAGTTCTCAAAATGATACAGTAGTGCAAGAATTTGACTGAAGAGGGTGTAGATGCTCCATTAACAGGAATCCTGTAAAATTACGCTGGATGAATACAAGCACTGGTGCTGTAAGAACTACTCCAACCCACTAAGACTGTTCCTATATTCATGTTTTGTAGGGTCTGTGCCCCAGGGCCTCCTTCCTCTCCAAGATGCACCAAGGCTCCACACTGTCTTTTCAGACTTTGTAGTAAGATCTTGACACCTGCTCCCATTTCCAAGAAGCCCTGAAATCTGCCATCTGTAACCTGCAGTGATCCTGAACTGAGAACAATCATAGCTTGTAGAGGGATTACTTACACCGTTCTTCGCTGCCAGCAGCAGGTACTTTAGACCTCTCTTTTCCTTAGGTTGCAGCCCCCTCATGTAGAATACTCCAAGATACGCCTGTGCCTGCAACAAAGCCACATGGTAGAAATCAGCCAGGATTTCCCCCCTTCATTTTCTTTTACTGATTTTGCAAGTTGCTCAAATGGTGGGTTACTGTGGCAAGATGAGGGTGCCAAGTACCCTGCTTGCTGCAGAGCCTGGGGAGAGAAAAGGGGACTGTCCTAGAAAGAATCAGTCTGACATGGTCAACACACAAAAATCACATTGGATCTACAGAACTGCACTATAGGTGCAGTTAACATCACCACAGTAACACCTTACGACCCAGAACCTAATTTCAAACTGTACTGTGGAAGTCAGAGCCAGAGAACAGCTCCTACTCGTGAGCTGTCCGTAACAGACAGCAGATGCACTTCCTGGAACAGTGTGCTACATGAGGTACAGTCACTGCCAGAACGACTGGCGTTCGCCACACAAGATGGCACATGCCTAAATGCATCTCCTGAAGAGTGGGAAAGGAGGGCAGGCATATCCATGCAGATGAATCATCTTGACAAGTCACAGATACAAAATGAGGATCTGTTCTTATTTAAAGCATCTCATGGAAGTTCCTCCACCCAAGCAACCTGTATTCTCGGAATTGAGAGGAGGTGAAACACAGAGCTACATTTGCAACTGTAGGTCAGTCTTCCTAAGGCAGTGGTATGATCTAGGTGTCTGATCTAAGAGCCCCATTAAAAAGCTCAACAGCAGAACAGACAACCAACACAGCTGACACAGTGGGTACCTAGCTGCCCCCCATGTGTAGGCAGGGCTGTCTTCCATACTCTATTATAAGTGTAAATATATTGGAAGGATTTTGCTTCCACTCCCACAGATGCTGCTTTCTAGGATGTCTAGGTTTAAATCCTTTAAACAGGGATCTCTGCTGGCTCTCTCCTATGAACTCCCATACTGTAGACACTAACCTCTGTAATGCCAGCCATTGCTGCTTGCTCCAGGAAAGTCACTGCCTTCTGATGCCTGTCCCACTCATTTTCAGGTCTGTGGCATAAGAGGTATCTTGCGTAGCGGTACTGTGCCATGGGGTGACGGCTGCTGGCTGCGTGGTAGTAATATAAAGCTGCCTGGAAAAAGATAAACACACTTGTGTGTTTATCAGGTAATCTATGCCCTCAAACATGACATGACTCCCCTCTGGCCAGGATAAGCGTAACCTCTCTGTCTAGATCTATCACCAGCTGGACACTTACCCCAGCAGCTCTCCCACACTTTCCTGCTGAAGAGCATAAGATTGTTCAAGTGAGACAGTGAACTGCAACTATCTGAGAGCCCTCTAACCACACTGCCTTCTCTAGTCAAAACTCCCTGTGTTGAAGAGGCTGGCACTGGGTCAACAATACTCAAGCTTACTGTGTGCTAAGGGGGATCTACACAATCACTCGAAACAAGCCTCTTTTGCCTCTTTCCAGCCACAAAAGATGCTGAGTACAACCAGCATGCACTAGGTGGCAGGCTGTAGTTAAGGTACCCAAACACGAAGGCTCAAGATGTACAAATCCCTCAGATGTGGAGTGGTGTTTTAAATACAGCAACATGACAGGTTTCTCCTTGGTACTCTTCTGGGTGTTAGTGGCATAGGCTGAGTACCTATGAGAAGACCTCAGCAGCTATCAGAAAAGAGATTTCAGGAGCACATCTCTGAGGGGATCTGTGATGCTGAAGCCAGCACTGTAAACCAGCACTCTGTATTATTTCCAGCATTTTCTAATGGACTTCAGAGGCTGTCAAACCCATGCAAAAGGAGAAAAGTGCCTGTGTACCCAACAGAGACCACTCTCCTGCTCTGTGCCGCACATACACAACCCTACAAGCAGTGGATACCTTTTCCAAGTCCTTTTCCGTGCCTCTGCCATGCTCGTAACACAGACCCACATTGAACTGGGCTTTGCTGTAGCCTCGATCTGCTGCCAGTTTGAAGCAGGTATAGGCTATCCTGGAATGGCCAGCTCTCATGCTTTCAATCCCTGAGAAGAGCACCATGTGAAAAGAGGGGAAAAGAGCATGGACAGAATGAAGCCTCACATGCAGCAACATTCCCCACAGCTACTTGGTCTTCCTTTGCCCATGCCAAGTGCTCCTTGCCATGTCCAGCTGGCTCAGCCACCCTCCTGCCACAGAACCAAAGTTTCCATACGAAAAATGGCAGCATTGCCTTTCAGGAATTTTTCTAGGCTCACTGCAACCGAGGATAATGGGCTAACACAATGTATAGTTTGCACAGAAGCAGCTCACTTTTCACTGCTGCTGCTAGTGGTGTGTATATAGGGCAGAGCCTTTTTTCTTAGGTCACTGCATCTTCCTTCGTCTCTTCTTAAGAGTTGCAATTCTGCAACTGCTTTTTCAGCTTGCCAGGAAGCCTGCGATCCCAAACAATAAAAAAGGATAAAAGGAGATGACATCTCATGCAAAAAAAACAGAGATGGCTTAATTTCCAACTACAGATGTCAGAACAACAGTGCAGGCTTCAACCAAGCCTGCATTTAAATATGCTGACATAAATCAGGTGGCAGGATGGGACAAAGGGCAATAAATCTTTCAAAGCACAGTTGAGTGCTGAAAGGAGGCTTCAGCTTGGGTATAAGCCATCTCTGCTTTCACAGAAGACCTGCAACGATCTGGAGGTCCTCCAAAAAGAGAAATGTGTGGTTTAAGGACACAACAAATCCAAGTCCACATTACCGAGGATATTCAATGCAATGGAAATATCAATCCGGAAAATCTGCTGCAACTGGAAAGCAGCTTCCTCCAAATGCCCTCGCTGGGCTGGGTCACCCTGAGGAGTTAAAGCAGCAAGCTGTTAAGACAGCAAAACCATACAAATCCTGTAGGAGATTCTTAGAAACAAGCAGTCAGACACACTGGTACTGTACTATAGTTATCAAGAGGGTGATGTAATCTGCTGTCATGCGTCCATAAAAAACCCCTCTGTGTCCTACACAGCCATCTAGTTAGGGAAGCTGTACGGACACTGCTTACCTCCCCTCAGGCCAGGGAGCTTGCCTTAGCCTCTCAGAGAACATCATCAGACCTGTCAGAATTCAGCAAATACCTGATATCACTCCTAACTCCCCCCTTCAAAAGTAACGCTAACCCTTGTTCGCTCTCCCACATCACGTCAACAGCACAAACAGGCACTGATGTATCTGTATATGCTTTAAACAATTCAAGCTGAGCCCACACTGTCAACTTACCAACCACTGCACATGCCTAATGAAACCCTGCACAGCAGAGACAATGTCTTTTCTTTCTCAGTAACGAACAGTATCTTCTACCTCAGCACAGCTCTGGGAGGTCGGAGGAGGATAAGCCTGGCTGTAGCTTCCCAGCTTGCGTACAAAGGTAGTGCCATCGAGCGGCAGCAGCGCACACTGCACACGAGCTGAGGTGCCTCCACGCTCGGGAAGTCATGCAGCAAAAATGCCCCTTGTCACCCAACAGCTTTACTCCTCACCCAGCACTCAGAGTTGCTCACAAGAGGACAAGACATGGACCGACTCCCCTCCTCTCTCAAGACCTGCCCCACGACCTACGAATGAGCTACAGACTCTTCCTAAGCCCCCCCAAGAAGTGGCACCTCCCAGGATGGGCAGCTTGATGGTCACCCCCTCAGCAGAGCAAGCAAATGCCTTTCTGGGGTGGGAGCAGAGTCATTGCACATCTAAGTGAGGAATCTACTCTGTTAAACACCCAATTTGCTCCCTGCTCTGTTCATTGTGTCCTTGAGCAATAGCTCAGCTGACTGATTTGTAAAATAAGGATTGTCTGTACCCAAGACTGTAAATTGCAAGGAATTAGCAGGTTTAATCACAGCAGGAACAATAACATAATTTATGGCCTTGTGACTCTCAAGCTGATGCACCCTCTTCAAACCCAAAGTGTTTTCCTCTCTATAACAGCCAACAGCCAGTCCTGATTTGCAGCTTTAGGCAGAGTGACATTACCTTCTCCAGTCATGGGTTGTCTGGTAAAAACCAAAATAGCAACCACATGTAATCACCTACTGAAAGACTGCATCAAAATGCAAATACACAGGAACAGACTGGTGCTGTTGGAAAGGGGTTTTCCATTTTGTTTCAGCTCTTCTCTACTAGCAGCCCTGTTACACAGACATCTTAAAAGGATGGGGATGCCAGTTTGTAGCTCCTGGAACTTTGCTCTGGCTAAAGCAGAGGGCAGCACATCACATCCCCCTTTCTCCTGTCCTCCAGCTGCACAGGGCAGGAAACAGTGAGTGGATTGCTCAGGCTGTGCTGGGGGTCACAATGAGATGGCTTCCTGTAGGGAAGGGGTCTCAGGTATAGACAGAGGGTGTGAAAAATCAAAGTATACCTTTGCATGGTGGAGAACTGGCCCCAGACTGGAGCTCTCAGGGATGTGGAACTCTCCTGCATTAAAAAAAAAAACAACAAAAAGAACAAACAAAAAAAAAAAAAGCAGGGTTAAGCAAGGCTGTACCTTTGCCTCTTCCTCCTCTTCCCATCCCCTCTATTCCATAGCTCTTTCCTAGAGGACTGATCGCCCACTCAGTCAGGGGCACTAAGAACAGAAGGAACACCAACGAATTCGACCTTTGTACCAAAGCAACCAAGTGCTACACGATTACAGTCCTATAGCCTGCAGCAATAATACACCTCCTCCAGAAAGGCCCCATTCTTGATATGAAGCCACCAAAAGGTAGAAAATCTCCTGCTTCCCCTCAAAGATTATTCCAGGAACTTGCAATTGCTGCTTAAAGCTCTGTGCTTCATTTCAAATTAAAATACAACTGGTTTCTGCTACCAGGCACTGGCTTTTCTAAGCTTTTTTTGCCTCTACTAAAAAGACCATCCTCCTTTCGAAAGCCCTGATATGACTAATCAATCCCTCTTGATTCTTTCTGGGATTCTAAACAGACCCTGCCCTGTCCATGTCTTTCAACTGAAGTACCTTTCTGCCCAAGTTGATGAATTTTATGACTTTCTGCCACTGTTCCTGGAATTTTTGACATTGTTATTGAAGTGTGAACCCTCTCCCCAGGAAGGGTAAAATTGCCTCCTTATTCACGTTCATACCTGCCTAGTTTGCATCTCTCAGAGCTGTGCTCCAATTCCCATTGCTCAGGGCATTGTACCCGCAGGTGCTTTGCCTCCCTAGCTCCTCTTCCAGGTAATTTCTTTCCAGGTACAGTTCTGCTTGTGCAAGGAGATAATCAGATTCTGGCTGCACCGGATGCAGGCTTGGGTTATCACCCCAATGTTCCCCACTTGCTCATTGCTGCCCTCTCAGATAAGGTAGCACAACCATGTGTTCAGTCACTATCTCACCAGTTTCAAACAGAATTATCTAATGAAAACATCTCCAGCAAGAGCTAAGCCACCTTGCTCTTAACAGAATTGGGCTGGAAGTGATTACACAGGCATTTACACCAGCTACTCTAAGAGGATGGTGACCTCCAGCAAGGAGGACGAACAGGCGAGGGCTGACTGAGGCCAATTATTTTTAACCTGAATCACCAGAAGGAGCTGGATCCCACCAGGCACCTAACACCAGGTGCTGAAGCCTGGATCACTTCAAGCCAGTGCTGCTAACACAAGAAGTAGCTATGCTCTCCCTATGTTTCCCTCTCAAGCTGTGTGGCTGTAGAGCAGGGAGCTAATATGAATAAACAACCATTATCAGTCCTTCCAGGGGCCTGATCCCTTGATTCCTTGCACTACATGGCTACACAAGCACTTGTGCTGGCAGAAACAAATGTGCAACAGGCAGGGTTGCTTCTTGCAGTGCCTGCAGCTTCTTACAATGCACATGAAGCTGTGGCCTGTGTTCCAGCTGCAGTTTCATTATTCCCAGATAAACAATTCCCCTTTGGCTGTATTAAAATGTATGTTATCTGAACAAGCCCCACTCACCCAACAAGCAAGGTCGCTCTGGCAAGCATGATTTCTAGTCATAATTCCACCAAAAGTAATGTAATCTGTGAATTTATTAGTTAGGCTTTACATTTATTTTGAGACCAGGCATACAATTGTCTGCTCTTTCTCACTGAACACTGTCTCTTGCTCAGTTATCTCCCTCATGATGTAATTTGTGTTCTTTTGCTATAGGTACAACAGCAAATTCCACGAATTTGTTTCAACATTAGTACATTCATGCTTTCAAGAAACTTTACTTTTGGCACAGACACCTCCTTCTAAATCAGAGACTCCTCAGTTACTGAGAAAACATGGTGTAATTTGGACAAACCCCATGAACAATAAACAGAAGCTCATTCTAAATTCCATCAGCCTGTGGAACTGTCTCATCTCCCTCTACCAGTGGAACCTTCTCCTAACCCTAATCCCAGTAATCTCCCCACATTATGAGTTACCAATCCCAAAGAGCATAAAGTCATCTAAAAGAAAACACAGGGACCAACTGATCCTGGCACCCAGTTCCATCTCCCGAAGGAGTAGATTAGTGAATTCTCTCAGAATTCACCTTTGAGGCTGAGCAAGCCACGAATCAAACCTCTTCATGGATATCGTGACGTGTAACACTTGCTTGTTTCAGAGCAGCTGCCTCAATACCAGACACAATGTAAACACAACGCTTAGGTTCCTTCAGTAGAAAAGGAAAATAAAAGCACCCCCTCAACAGCAAAGAATCTCATCGCACTTCAGCAGAGCGCGACAACTAGCTTAGACTAGAGAATCACAGAATCCCAGGCTAGTTTGGGCTGGAAGGGACCTTAAAGCTCATCCAGCTCCAACCCCTGCCACGGGCAGGGACACCTTCCACCAGAGCAGCTTGCTCCAAGCCCCTGTGTCCAACCTGGCCTTGAACACTGCCAGGGATGGGGCAGCCACAGCTTCTCTGGGCACCCTGTGCCAGCACCTCAGCACCCTCGTAGTGGTGAAAATTAATCTTCAACCTGATGTTAGTTAGTACCAGTTCACCCAACTGTTTATTTCTTATTTCTCTAAGAATGCTCAAGCTTCAACACCACTTCATAGGAACCAGTCCTTGAACAAATTCATTGCTATACTGCACCCACAGAACCACGTTCAGTCATCCTTAATACTATATGTTCAAAGCACACAAAAGCTGGGAATACCACAGCTGGAATTTTCAGTGCAACTTTATTTCTACTTCTTCAAACACACGCTAGGATCTCACATGACTACACATCCTTTTTTCCATGCAATCTTACAGCTTTCAGTGTACCGGATGCCCAATGTGCACATATTCAGCAGCTAACAAATATTTTGTATTTCCCCACTGTTCATCCTGGACTAATCAAATGTTGCTCAAAGCTAGCTCCAAATGAGGAATTAATAATCTTCTCATAGCCAGTCTAGATTGCTCATCCCAAAACATCCGAACACTTCACAAGAAGGAATTCGCAACAAGAGCTGGACCAAATCCAGGATTTCTGCCTCACAGAAAATTTTAGTGCTTCCAATTGGTTTTCATTGTGCTTTGAAATGAAAACACACTTCTGCAATGTCTGTAATCTCAGAATTGAAATAATGAATTTTACAGTTCTGCCAGGGGTAAAATACAACTCCCCAGGGCAGCATTCAGCTGCTGTAACATGGAGACTGGCTGTAATCACCTGTTTGCTCACTACGTGCCTTTAACTTCTGGCAAAAAATCTTTGAGAGAGGCAGGAATTGCATGAAAAAACAGGATATGCTCATGCAGACAAGGACTTGCTGATAGTCATATCCAGGATGCTATTTAAAGCAAGTTTTAAATGAATTTCCCAAAGTTTGCTCTTTTTTTCACACTAAAAGTAATAGATTCTATCATATTGTGTTATGTTAAAATTGGAACAGCTCATCTGCAATGCTGGGATGTTTGGATCCATCACAAAGATCTTTGCCACTTGAGGTAATGAAGTAGCTGACAGCAACTGCAGATTGTCACTGTATATGTAGACCAGCACAAGCAAGCCTGGAAATTAACTGAAACACTGAAAGAAAGGGTGAGGACATGGAATTCTTTCCAGAAGGTTCTTTTGCTATTGCTGGCAACAGCAAACTGGAGAAGTGAAGGTACATTCTGCTCCATTCCCAGTTCTGGAGGTCTGTTCTTTAATGGCAAGACTTTGCTATCAGATTCCTCTGCATCATCTGCCAGGTGTCTGTCCTTCCCTTCCTTCTGCTCACCCCAGCTTCTTGCTGCATTCTGATTTAGCCAGCCTTATTCTCTTTTGGTTGCTAAACACCAGCAAAAAGAAATCCTAAACCTTAGGCAGCTTTTTCTGTAGAAAGCAAAACACACTGTGAGAGAAAGGACTTCACTTTAAAGCTTCCCTTTAAAACTTTCCATGGGAAGATTCCCAGCACTTCCCACATTACACAACCATGGGTTTTTTGAGGCTCTTCAGTGACCATTACTGAATCTTTTCACCCTGACTTTCCTCAATAAATTGCCACCAAATGGATGCACAGAATAATGTGAGAATGTAACCTGAGGACTTATGTATTGAGCAAAATCAAATTATTTCTGACATATATTATCTCTGACAACTGACAGCTGTAGATGCTTGGGCGGAAAGGGTAAGGAACAGGGATTATAAAGTCACGCTCTTCCTGGCAGAACTTTCCAGCAATCAGCTGTTCTGCAGTCTTCTGAGCAGGAGGTTTTGGCTGGACCAATTAAATCAAATTGGAATCTGTAATTTTACCTAATCATTTCTAGGAACCTATTTATACTTCTGGCCTGAAACAATGAGTTCCACAATTTACCTGTGTACTGACCAAATATGTGCCATCTTTTGCCTCTTTTCAGACTTGCTACCTGACTCTTTCTGTGCTACCTATTAGTATGTGTAATATGAAAAATATTGCCCCATTTCACCTTCCCACAACACTTTTAGTTTCACAGAGCACTAGCACACCCTCTGCCACTTCTTTCTTAAGAAGAGTCTGACTCTATTTGTATGTCATTGTCTCCTTGTCATCATTTTCTATGCCATTGTTGCTACTGTTTTTAAGACACTGTCTTTTCCTTAAGCATTCAAGATGTGGCTGCATCACAGACTCACTCAAACCTACAATACTGTCTTTCCTCAGTTCCTTCCTTTACAATAATTAACATTTAATTGGCCTCACTGCTGCTGAGCATTGACTTAACCTTATCAAAAACGTATCCATGGTGTCTTTAAATGTTCCCTCTGCAATATAATTATTAACTTGACACTCCTCATTCTGTATGTGTATTTAGAGCTACACTCCCCTGCGTATCCTAATTTAACCTACCTTGGGATTAGCCTGGGTTTAGTTCTCGTGCAGTTTTTTGCTCTGCCTTTCAGATTTGACTGTCCTGAATAATTTTGTACCATTTGCTCCTTCTGTCTCCTCACTCATCACCTCTTTTTTTCCAAATCACTGCTGACTGCTGAACAGGTTTAACCAGTTCTGTTCCAGTTATGGTTCTCCATTGTGATCACTATTTCTTGTACTTACTAGCCCAAGAGTAGCCCCCCTGTCTTCCCTCTCATCAGCTTTATTTCTCCAGGTAGCTTGATTTTAGCTCCTGGCTGAAAGATCTTCAGAAAGCTAAAAGCTGGATAATCTTGCTCCACATTCCCCTTGACTTCTCCAAAGAAGTCATAATCGATTTACAGCTCTCTTAAGTCTCTGCAACGGAGCAAGATGGCCTCAGAAATGGCTTCCTAAATCCTTCCAAGACCTTTGATTCTTTGATATAGCATGCTCATCCAGGTATCTGACATTTCTATTCTACAACACAGTTTCTATCAACTTAGAATTACCTTTTTTGCAGTTCTGGGCCTCAAACAACCCCCCCTTTTTAAAAGCCAGTGTCCAATTTGTCAGTGTTCATTCTTCTGGCTGTACAAGAGATTTAAGCACTGGATTACATATCATCATTAGAGGCTCAATGATTTCATTGCTTCTGAAGAACATCTTAACAAAGAGCACATGGCCTTAGTGACTTGTCACTGTTCAATTTATCAGTTTGCCTAAAAGCTCGTCCTATTGACTCTCAGTAGGAAACTGTTTGTCAGACACAGACACACGTTCACTCCTGAACGTTCAGCTGTGCCAACTGAAGGCACCACTGTCTCCACTTATTCCCACCACATCTCCCAGAGTCCACGTCCAGTAATCTGCCAGTGAGGCAGTGTGTTTGAGTGCTTCTTAATATGCTCCAGGCAAAAGCAGATGGGTTAAACAGTCTAATTGGCAGTTTAGGTAAATTAACCTGGCTGTTTTCCTGGAGCTAATTAGGAAACATGGAAACAAAATGCTCCATTTGCCAACTGATGGGAATGGTAACCTCTGGCAGGCGATGGGTTTGATAAGCAGTAGTGGGCAGTAGCTTAAATCACCACAAAAGAAAGCCAAACATCTGGAAGAAAGCCTAGAATGGGGAACCCCTCTGACCTTTTCTGCAGCATCTTACATTATGTAGCCAGCGTCTGTGGGCTGGCTCTTTTACGTGCCTCATTTACACCACGATCATATGTTGTCCCCCTTTCTACGGGCTCCAGCTTCTAACAGTCTTCCTGAAGCCATTATTAGTGTTTCCTCACTTAGTGAGTAGCCCATCTGATTTTCCTTGATATGACTTTAAATTTAATATGTTGGACTTGCTTTCCAAGGTTGAGACACCCTATTTTTATAAAACTCATTTTAAGAAGAATATCTTTGATACCTCCTTCCACTGTGTTATCTACACTATAAGTGCTTAGAAATACATCATCATCTTCCAGGAAGAGAATAATTCCCTTAGTTTCACACCATGTGCAAGGTCTCCCAGATCAATGGTGCCGTATTCTCCTGAATCATAGAATCATAGAATCGTTAGGGTTGGAAAGGACCTTAAGATCATCCAGTTCCAACCCCCCTGCCGTGGGCAGGGACACCTTACGCTAAATCGTAATCACCCAAGGCCTTGTCCAACCTGGTCTTGAGCACTGCCAAGGATGGAGCATTCACAACCTGCCTGGGCAACCTATTCCAGTGCCTCACCACCCTAGCAGGAAAGAATTTCCTTCTTAGATCCAACTTAAACTTCCCCTGTTTAAGTTTTAACCCGTTACCCCTTGTCCTGTCACTACAGTCCCTAATGAAGAGTCCCTCCCCAGCATCCCTATAGGCCCCCTTCAGATACTGGAAGGCTGCCATGAGGTCTCCACGCAGCCTTCTCTTCTCCAGGCTGAACAGCCCCAACTTTCTCAGCCTGTCTCCATACAGGAGGTGCTCCAGTCCCCTGATCATTCTCATGGCCCTCCTCTGGACTTGTTCCAACAGTTCCATGTCCTTTTTACGTAGAGGACACCAGAACTGCACACAATGCTCCAGGTGAGGTCTCACAAGAGCAGAGTAGAGGGGCAGGATCACCTCCTTCGACCTGCTGGTCACGCTCCTTTTGATGCAGCCCAGGATACGGTTGGCTTTCTGGGCTGCAAGCACACACTGAAGCCGGCTCATGTTCATTTTCTCATCAACCAACACCCCCAAGTCCTTCTCCACAGGGCTGCTCTGAATCTCTTCTCTGCTCAACCTGTAGCTGTGCCTGGGATTGCTCCTTGTGGCTGCAAACATCTGTCCACAAAAAGAGAACAGCAGCTGGATGTTGTAATCAGGTCACTAAGGCAGAGCAGTACTGGTAAGGCTGATGTCACCTGCAGTTACAGCACATCCCTCCCTGCCTTCAGGAGACATTTTTCCTCCTGTCTCTGGACTCCTGATTCATGTCTCTGAAGTTTTGTCTTTCCACTCTCACCTATGTCCTCAAGGGTCAATAAATGGCACTACACTTTTTGGCTCCTAGCTCTGCCTTGGGAAATCTCAAAACTCAGAAGTCCTTTCCCCACAAGTATCCTGCCCTGCAGCACATTGCACATACCTACTTCAGCCCAGGGCTGGCTCTCTCCTTGCCCTGAGGGGATGCCTGAGGACTCATTCTCTGGTACAACCTCTGGACTTGGTTTCTGCAGGAAGCAGGACCCCAGCTGCTCAGTGGAACAGCTGGTTGAGGCTTCAGTCACCACTGTAAGACAGAACACAAAAGCAATGTCTGTTTGAGCAGTCAACACTGCACTATGTATCATCTACCTAGCATCCTTCCCTGCTCTGACCACAAAGCCAAGCAGGAGGGAACTTCACGAAGCAGACTCAGAAAAGAAAATAAAGGTAACGGATGCAAAGTGGGACTGAATCAAATTGTTAAGAAACAGCGAGATTCCCCTGACAGACACCAGCCCTCATTCCTTCCCCCGAGGGCTTGAAAGCTGGTTCTCAGCTTCTCACCGCAGCTCTCTTCCAGCCTGTTAATGTATCACCAGGCACGAACCCTGACCGGCAGCAGGGCCCTCCCACAGCCCCCCCTCCCGCCAGCGCTGCGAACCTGTCTGTTGCGAGGGCAGGGAGGTGAGCCGCAGAGCCCTGTGCTCTCTCCTGGCGTCCGGCAGGGACCTCAGCCAGGCGATCTGCCTGAGCAGCTGCAGAAGCAACGCACCGAGTGCCCCCTGAGGAAAAGCAGACACAAGTCAAGGACAACATCCCCGCTCCCTCCCTCTGTCCCGCTTCCACGGGCAGCTTGTCCACAGCTCTGTGTCGGCGTGCCCGCTGCTCCCACCCCTCTCACAGCACAAGCTCCTGTGCTGCCAGCACTCCCAACACAGCCCGGGCCCGCCGCTCCTCACCCAGGTGACTGCCTCCAGCACGGAGTAGCGGGGCACCAGGCCGGGCAGGGTCTGCCGCCTTCCTCCTCGCTCCCGGTCATCCCGGGGCCGTCCATCCTCGCAGCCGGGCGCCCTACAACAACCGGGGAACACAACACGGTGAAGGCCGTGGGCAGCCCTCGGCACCCCCCCCCCCCCCGCGGCGCGCTGGGGTCACCCCGCTCTCCCTGCAGGCCCGCACCGCGGGCAGTGCGCAGCCCGGCCCGGCCGCACTCACCGCTCGATGCCCGGGCCGGGGCCGTCGGGCGGGGGCGCGGCGCAGGCAGGGCGGGCGGGGGGCGGCCAGCAGCGGCTCAGGCCGCGGCCCAGCAGCAGCCGCCACATCCCGCCCGCCGGACCATAGAGAGGGGGCGTTGCGGAGCGACAGCAGCTTGGGCCATAGAGAGGACGGAGCTACTGAGGGTATCGGCCGGTCCCGGCGGGGCAGCGGAGGGCCAGCACCGGGCGGCGCAACACCGGGCAGCGGGGCCGAGTGGGGCCCACCCGGGCAAAGAGCAGAGAAGCGGCTCCGGCCGGCCCGAGCCCGGCGGGCGGGTGGGGATAGAGCGGCGCCGCATCATGGAGACGAGCTAGAGCGGCGCCCGGCGGAGCGCGGGAACGGTGCGGCGGCCCCTGCCCTCCGGGCGGGCCGGGGACAGCCGCGTGTGACGGGGTTACCGGTTGTGCTGAGCCCCGAGGGGAGCCCTGGGATGGGGGCTGAGGGCGCCGGGCCAGGTCGGTGCTGTGTGCCTGAGCCGGGGAATACCGGATAAACGGTGCATTTTCCTGACCGAGAGCAGCTTCCAGCAGCGGGGTGGGGGGACACTGGGGTGATGGGTTGAGGAGAAGCTCCCCATGAGCCGGCATCAGTGAGCGCTTGAGCCCAGACCCCCCCTGTGCTGGGCTGCACCCCCAGAGCGTGAGCAGCAGCTCGGGGGGCGATCCCGCCCCTCTGCTGCACTGGGGAGACCCCCCCTGCAGTCCTGATCCAGCTGTGGGGCAACAGCACGAGAGGGACCTAAAGGGGAAACCTGGAGAGGGGTTTGGCCGAGGGCCTGCAGGGCCAGGCCAAGGGGAATGGCTTTAACCTGCCAGAGGGGAGACTGAGATGAGCTCTTAGGCAGAAGCTCTTCCCTGTGAGGGTGCTGAGGCGCTGGCACAGGGTGCCCAGAGAAGCTGTGGCTGCCCCATCCCTGGCAGTGTTCAAGGCCAGGTTGGACACAGGGGCTTGGAGCAAGCTGCTCTGGTGGAAGGTGTCCCTGCCCGTGGCAGGGGTTGGAACTGGGTGAGCTTTAAGGTCCCTTCAAGCCAAACCAATCTGGGATTCTGGGATTCTGTGATTCTATGAAGTAGGCAAGAAGAAATTGTGTACTGCAAAAAAGTAATTTTAGGTTTTATCAGAAATTCACTCAGTTAATCTTCCTGTAATCACGGATGTGGTTAATTATATATGGGAAATGGTATAAGTGGGAAACATTTGTGAACGGGAATGTGTAAAATATGCATTAAGATGCAGTTGCAGTTTGAGCTATGCATGAACTTGCCCTCACCCCTTGGTGGTGGTCGCTCTTACTCTGTGACTGCCCATGCTCCCAGAGGCCTCCCTGGGCTTATATGTGCTGTATGTCTGTGTGTTTCAGTGGCGTTGCAATAGGAGATGGCAGAGTTCCCAACCGAGAGCATGCCATGCCAGCATGAGAAAAGGATAGACTTCATATTCTCCTTTCCCTGGTGGTTTCCTTCAGAAGTATGGCTATTGCTGGCCCTGTGCTCATTCCAGCTGAACAATGTGAATTTCTTGTTCATTTCTTCGTTCCACCAGCAGGAATTCTTGGTCATTCCGGCAGTTTGTTTCTCTTTGCAGAATATGGTGTTCTCTTTGCTGGTAATTCCTGTTAGGAACTCGTAGTTCTAGTTCAGTTTTATCCATGTTTTATGCTTGAATGGCTGCAAGTTTGGCTCCAAGTGTGGCTTTTCAGGAGATCTGTAATCATTCTCTTTCATCAGGCTGAGTGCTTGCTTCAAACTGCCAGATTTCTTTTGGTTTTCCATAGCTTTTATTTTGTTGTAGTGTCATATGGGACACAAATCCTTTATCCTTTTCACCCCAGATTTGGCTTAATACCTTAATTACAAAGTCATTTAGTTGTCTCTTTTAGTAAATGTGTCTCTAATTGTCTCGTGCTAGTAGGCTGGTATTTGCTAAGCTACTACAGTTTGTTTGGGGATGAAAATGACATGCAAAATAGAAATATCAGCATCTCCACTCTATAATCTTGCCTTAATTTTCTTGCTCATCAAGTTGATATCAGTAATTAATGCTCCAAAAACTAACACTGCATTTGTTGGTATTGGTTCATCCAGGATCTTCTCAGCTAATCACTGTATTTTTAGTGCTGTTTAGTCCTAATTTCCTTCCAGGTCCCTAGCCGTTTGGTGTGTGAAACTCTGTCTTTTCTGCAACTGGCAATTCAATAGCAGAGCTAATCCAGTTTGATTCATATCATGAGGGTGCCACAGGAGCTGAGCAACATCTGTTGAACCATTGCTGCACATTTGTGTCTTTTACTTTGGAGAAGAACCAAACGCAGATGAGATGGGAGGGGAGTTCTGAGACATGAGGAAGATGACTGTCCAGAGCAAGACAAGTTGAGAGATCTTTGTTGTGGATCTAAGCTGTTGTGGAGTAATGTGACAGGGATTAAATGTCACAGAGAGAAATGACTTGAGCTATGCAGGCAGGAAGACAGTAAGTTCTGCACAAGGTCTGTTTCTTGTGGCTTTCCAGCTTGGCTAGTTTGTGTCCTAGCAGCTTGCAGTCAGAGGGTGGAAAGGACGTTGAGAAGGAAGAGGTGATAAGCCATGAGGAGTTACTGCAGGTGCAGAGGGCCTTGCTACAGCTTTTCTGACCAGGCAGAGACTGGACTGGGAGCAGCCCTGAGGAGAAAGATTCTTCCTTGTGAGGGTGCTGAGGCGCTGGCACAGGGTGCCCAGAGAAGCTGTGGCTGCCCCATCCCTGGCAGTGTTCAAGGCCCTTGGATGTGGCTTGGAGCAAGCTGCTCTAGTGGAAGGTGTCCCTGCCCATAGCAAGGGTTGGAACTGGATGAGCTTTAAGGTTCCTTCCAGCACAAACCTTTTTCTATGGTTCTATAAATCCATGACTATTGGTGGTGGGATTTTGCTCTGTGCACCAAGGGTGCTGGGGAAGTGGCTGATGTCATTGCAGGGCCACTTTGGAAGGCTGCAGTAATCAGGAGAGGATGGTGATGACAAAAAATGTCAAACCTCACACACTCATTCATTATTCAAGGGCAAGAAGAAGGATTGGAGAACTCTGAAACCCTCTTATTTAGCTTGTGCCTGTGGGAGGTGGTGGCACACCTTCTCCTGGAAACTTTTAAGTGTGTGAAGGACAGGAAGGCTATTGGGAAGAGCCAGAGTGGATTTGACAAGGGCAATCATCCCTAACCAGCCTGATTGCCTTCTGTGATGAAACTGGCTCGGACAACAAGGGGAGAGCAGTGGGTGGTGGTTACCTTGTTGTTAGCAAGGTCTTTGACATGGTCTCCTATAGTATCACCTCACTAAATTGGTGAGGTATGGATTGGGTAAATGGACTATAAATTGGATGGAAAATTGCCTGGATTGTTGGGCTTAGATGATGGTGGTCAGTGGGCTGGCACACAGAATGTACGAGAAGAGGCTGAGAAAACTCTTGTTATCACACAATAATTTTAGGAAAATAAATACTTTGTGCCTTAGGGGAATAAATACTGTGTTCCTTAAGAAATACATTTATTTTGGTGGAAAGAGAAAATCAGACTGGTTGTAGAAAGCAGGTTATAAGAAACATAAATGACTTCAGAATGTATATAACCTTCTAGAGCTTTGAAAAACCTTGCAGGAGAAGGCACTCATTTATTCACTGGTTTAAACACCCATTAATGCCAGTACCCTTGAAAATCCAGACAAAATCAACATATCTCCAAGCTCTTGATTATTGCTTTGAGGCACATAGGCCCCTGGAACTTTGTTCCCTGGGTGCTGGAGCTGTTGCCTCTTGTCTCATAGCGGTCTTTTGGTAACTTCGGTTTTCATCTGTGTGTTGTGGTTTAAACCCAGTCAGGCAGCTCGTTCACTCACTGCCCCCCTTCTTTCCCTCCCCCTACTCCCGAAGGTATGGAGAGGAGAATCGAAAAGAATGCAACTCCCACAGGTTGAGATAAGAACAGTTTAGTAACTAAGGTATAACACAGATCACTACTGCTACCATCAATAATAATAATGATAAAGGAAATAACAAGGGAAGAGAATACAACACCTCACCACCAGCTGACTGATAACTCGCTCCCCCCAGCCCGACCAAGCACTGACTGATACCTCCTCCAACCCCACAGTCCCCAGCCCTTCTGGGTAACTCCCAGTTACATCCTGGGCATGACGTGCTGTGGTATGGAATACCTCTTTGGTCAGTTTGGGTCAGGTGTCCTGTCTCTGCTTCCTCTCTTCTTCCCCTCCTCCCTGGCAGAGCATGAGGCTCACAAAGTCCTTGGCCAGACTAAAACATTTGAGTAGTAACTAAAAACATCGGTGCTATCAGCACCATTCCGAGGCCGAAAGTCAAAAACACAGCACTGCACCAGCTACGAAGGAGGAGAAAAATGACTGCTACTGCTGAACCCAGGACACTATGATTTTCTGTGTCTTGAACAAAGCCACTTGGTGGAACCTGAAAGCTTTGACACACACCAGGTTTTTTTCTAAAGCCAGAAATTTATGGCTACAAAACTCAGTGTACAACTTTGATGAAGTAAACTTGAAACACTTGTAATTACAGATGATCCAGTTTCACAGCTCGCAGACAAAAGAAAATGTGTTTGTTTTACTTTATTAGATTGCTTCTAATATGTTCATACAAACCCGAATGTGCATATACACACTTTGTCAATACTGCCAACTGCAATTTATTAAGTTTTATAAATTTTTTCCACTAGGTCACTGTATTGGGAAACAGACAACAAATGCAGGATCAATGCTGAAGACGGGAAAGCTAAATTTCCAAGTAAGCAATCTTGTAATTTCTCTTAATAAGTTCATAAGGGGCATTTTTGAGGAAGTCTTAATTAATCATAGGCCTAAACCCTCTCTTAATGGGGTTGTATTTTTCTAACAGGGAAGTAAGAAAAAGGTATTTGGGCATAAGCTGTAGCTTGAGCTGCCCTTTCACTCTCCTCTGGCTGCTGCAAAGCCCCTCAGTCAGTCATTGTAATCCAGATCTGGAACTGGGAGTGTGTTTTGGGGATGTATCTTGTTGCTTTGTGATGAAGGCCCTGGGAGAATCTGTTGGTGTTGACAGCCCCTGACAGTAAATGTCACATGAATTTGGAGGGAGCTCAGGGCCTTCTGGTGACTGCTATGAGAAGAGACATGGTGACAGAAAACCTGATTGATGAGCCATGCCACAAGTAGAGGGAGCACTGAGTGGTGATTGCCTATAATTGAATGGTCCAAGGAAGTTATTTCTGGGGTTCCTATGAGTGGTGACATGCACTCCAGAAGTGTTTGCACAGGGGAGGACTGCAGATTTTAACCCTGGTACTCAGCAACTCCTTGTTAATGCAGCATTAACAGACTTCAAAACTTTAATGGGCTGCTTTAGCTTCATGCCCAGCATAGTAATGAACCAGTCGACAATCGGAGATGGTCACTCAAGCAATTACCTTTAGAAATGTTCCTTTGCCTCCTCTTTTTAGTGCTTTCTCCTCATGGCTCAGCTCTGTGATCTGACAACATGGAGACGTTGATTATCAAGGTTCTTCCTGACTCTGACAGTGCACTCCTCTGACATGGGCTTGTTGCAGCCATGTTAAACTGATGCTCCTGGCATTAAATGGGAAGGGGAGATGTAGTAGCCCACTTACCCAGCAAAACATCTGCTCACACTGACCAATTAAATTGGCTTCTCTCTCATTAAAACCCTTGTGCAGACTCTGGTATGTCACAGATCTTTAAAATCTCCATTATGAATTCCACTTTCTTCTGGGTATTTTTAGCTTATACTTGAAGAAATGATTATTGTCTCTTGCACTTAAACATATCAATTTTGGCTCCACAGACATCTCCTCTGGGCCACATTCAAAGACCTGAGCTGACTCCAACTGCTGAATCCATAGGGAGGTTTTCAACACAGCCTGAAGCACTTGGACATTGGAGCTGGGCAAGAAGGGCGAGGGAGAGAAATTCAAGCCCTCCCCGCTTCCCTTTGGTAAATCAGGAGCACATCCCTTACAGATTTACTTGGCTGTGCCAATTTAATGTGATTTCTTCTGAGGGCCAGGAACTACTCAAGGAAGGCTGACAGGTTTTATCAACAGAATGGAAACTGAAGTGATAAGGTGAGAGTTACTGACCTGATAACTAACAAACAGAAAACTTCAGTGTCCCTCAAGCTAAATATTGCACTCAGCAGGTAAGTAAAAGATGGCAACAGCTGTGGTCTTGTCACTGAGAGAGTGTGGTTTAGTGTAGAGGAGCAGGAGGTGAACTGTGACAACAAACACATTCAGTTTGCTACAGACTATTTCCCTCTATTACTTTTAATGAGAGCTAAACTCCAAAATGCACAATGGGACAATAATATTTTAGATAGAAGGAACTCTTCGTACAGCTCCTAAATTCTAGACACCCGGTTGCAATTAAAATCATTGCTTGTGTATTATTAATAGCTCACCAGTAGTTTAAGGCTGTTATCAGGTATGGGACCAATTGGTGCTGGCCAGCACACAGCTGAATGAAGAGTAGTGCTGTCCTTGAAGGAGCTGAGTTAACAACCTGAACCCACAGTGCTCAGAGGAGTTTGAAAAATGAGAGAAACGTGGACAGGAGCTGTGTTGAATGCAGCACTGTGGAAGCTGGCAAAGCAACATGGCTGGGTTGCTGTAGTCAGATGTTAGTGAATGCTGCCTAAGTGGGGTTTCATTTAGTTAAATTCTGAAATTGCAGTGTGGGAAGGGCAGATTGGAAAGGAAGCAGAGACCTCTAATAAACGCTGATTTACAAGTAATGGGCACAAAAAGTGCTGCAAGTACGGCAGTTTGTTGTTCTTGCTTTTTCCCCTTATATTTTTTCTTTTCCTGAGAACATGCCGGGGTTGTGTATGAAACCTAGTTGTCACAAGTCTCACACATCCCTTGAAATTCCTGTCTGACAGAATATGAAGGCTGCAGCAGCTGAACAAAAAGGCGCGCGACAGAGCTCTTGTATGATGTCCGTCTCCCCTTTCTGGCACCTGGCCTGTTCAGTACAATTGGGAAAGACAAATGGCAAGTGATTGCTTCCTATTCAACTTCTGCAAGCTAATTTTGTTTTTCACATGGCAGCAGTTTTGTACTCACCACGTTTGTCATTCTGCCATGTATTTTTTCTTCTCCCCGTTGCAGTTCCTTTCCTGTTACAGTTCCTTTCCTTTATAAGGTAAGGGCACCAGAACTACATTTGGTATTTGAGAAGCAGACGCACCATGAATTCATAGAGTGGCAAAGTCATGCTTTTCTCTCCTAAGAATTCTGAACTTTTGCTTTTCTTTTTCTGCCTGCTGTTGAGCACCAAGGTGATATATTCATAGAACTAGCCATTAGAATGTCAGGATGCATTTGCTAAATTGTGCAAACCAGTTCAGAGCCCATCATTCTGTGTGAAGTGAGTGTTGTTTTTTGTGTATAGGTAGATTATAGCTGTCAGGGCTGAAATTTATCTCCTGCTTTATCATGAGGCTTACTCAATGTCATGAGATCTTTAAGGTTTGGTAGTAAATATTATCCTAATTAATTGATGTTTTCTCAGAAATCTTCACTGTTCCACCTACTTTCCAGGTCATTTCTGACCACAGTGAACACCATAGACCTTAATCCCCATGGGAGTCCACTGATGATCATCCTCTACTGTGAAAACTCATCCTACAGTCTAATCTTTTTTCACCCAGTATTATTTAACTCTGTGAGGGCCTTACCTGTAGTCCCTGGCTTTTTAGTTTATTAAAAAGCCTTTGATGAGACCTTCAGTGCCTGAAGTTTCTGGAAGCTTGGTGTGAGCTGGAAATGCAAGGGAAATTTCTCAGCTGGATCTCTGTTATTTACATGCTTTTGACTCCTTCAGAGAATTCCAGCAGATTTAGGAGGCTCAGATTCCTTTCACAAAAGTCATGTTTACTTATCCTTAATGTGTTACTTTTATTCATGTATTCAGTCATTCTGTTCTTTACTAGAGCTTCAGCCAATACGACCGATATGGACATTAGACTTAGTGGTCTGTGGGTTCTTGAATCACCACTGGATTTCTTTTTAAAAACTGATTTGTTATTAGTTACCTTCCAGCCCTTTGATAATCGCAGCAATTTTCAGCAAAAGGTTACATACTAAGGGGATTAGCTCAGATGATTCATATTTAACATTCTGTGAAGATCTTGCATGAATCTCAGCCACTGATATGTTGTTATTCAGTTTGTCTGGTTGTAATCTACACTTAACAACCTTAAATTAAGACAAGCCTGTTTTGAATGTCTTATAAACAGGGTCCTGGCCTCAGAGTTTCTCTGAGGTTCTCCAGGTGAAGAGAGATGTAAAAAGAAGAGTTTGTAATCTTTTGCGGTGGCATTATCTTTTCTGAGTGCTTCTCTCATACGTGGCTCTTGCAAGCTTCATGCTCCTGATGTATTCCAAGAAGGATTTCTTGGACTTTTTTATTTCTTTAGCAAATAGCTTCTAAATTCTTTCTTCAGTCTATGTTATTGTGCTTTTACATTTAGTCTGCCAGGATTTATGTTCTTTTTAGTTTTCCTTTTTCAGACACCAGTTCAGCTTTTTGCAGAGTACGTTTTAACTTCCAACAGCCTCCCTGATCCTGCTGTTTTGTGCTTTTTGTTTTTCTCTCAAGTCTTTTTTGACAGGTCATATGCATTTGCTTTGAGCCTCCAATATAGGATCCTAAAATAGTCTACCTGCCATCTGAAAATGTTTTACCTTTCTGGCTGCCACTCTGAGTGTTGTTTTTGTTTTTTATAAGAAATTTCCCCATTTTTGAATTCCCATTCTCTGGAATCAAGCACAGCTGCTGCATTTGCCAACATTTCTTCATTTCAGAATATGTAGTCATGAATCAGGTAAAAGGATTAAGGGTTTGGGCCTAGCCCAGTCTCTAGGAAGCCTGGAGATATTTGTCATTAACTTTTCACTTATGTTAATGTCACTAATTTCATTAACTGAGAAACAGGGAAGGAAATGGCTTTGCCAGGGCTGGAGATGATGGGACTTCCTGCCCTGGAACATCAGCTGCTTTCTCCAACCTACAACAGAGAAAATGATGGGTAATTGGAAAATAAAGCTGTCTGGGCTGATTTGTGCCACTGCAGTTTGATGCTGACTAGGTGGGGTGGTTCTGGAAGAGCCCATCTACACTGTGCTGGTCGGAACCAGAGTGTGAAAGTAGAGTCACAGTGACAGTGTCCAGTTCCCACATTAACACATGCAGGATTGATCCAGTGTACCAAGAGATCCAGCAGGACAGTGTGTGAATGCAAGTAGCTCTTCCTGTGATAATGCCAGAGAATCAAGAGCTTAGACTACTTCATTATTTCAGTCCGCATATAACAAAATCTTGGATAAGGTCTGACCAAAAAAGGACTAAGACCACAGTTAGTAGAGCCTGCTTTCGTAGCTGAAAGTACCTGTAAAGCCAGAATGGACCAAATGATGCTGGCTACAGTGCAACTGCTGCCTAGCATTGACTGCTTAGCAACAGGGAGAGTGATATGGATGCAGATGAATTGAGTGTTTTCTGAGCAAGCTGGGTAGGAACAGAAGTAATTAGCTGCTAGCTGATGAAAAGCCATGCTTAATTATTAGTATAATTATAGATATAATAGACCAGGAATTATTCAGTAAAAGTAAGAAAGCCAATATGTTACAAAAAGGTAATCAGAATGGGAGAGAAAATGACAGTGGTGTGAATTCTGGAGAAGAAATGTAATGGATTAAGGTGATAAATCTGGAATCTTTTGGGTTTCCACTCTGACAGAACCGAGTTTAACAATGGTGTAGGGGTCTACAGAGCTAACAAGGTGTGTGGCTTGTATTATTTCTGGTTTTATATAATGTTGATTTATCTGATTGTATGCGAGTGAAATTGAGCTGTATGTTCATAAATCTCCAAACCTGCACAGCTTCACAAAGATCTTTGTTCTCCTTCTAGCAATGCTGGAAGCACAACCATTTAATTTGATGGATTCTGTCAGAAGCTCAGCTTTAGCTGGTTCTGCTCAATATTGGTAATTGATTATAATTATTTGAAAAGGCAGCATTGCTTTCCCTTGGCACCCTGAGAAGTAGTTGTGACTAAGAAGCAGACATGCTAGCCAGCTGCCCTGCCTGGCCAATGCATCTTAAACTGTTTTCAGTGCTGCTGGGGAGATGGCTGGAGATAACAGGCTGAACTGTTCTAACAGAGATGTTAGTAAGATGATGGATAATCACTGAAATGAATAATCTGGGGAAGGTTTTAAGTACGTCTCTTCCAATGTCAGAATGGATGTAGATAGTTCTGGTCCTGCTTTTGTGCCAGGGCTTGGACCGGGTGCTAACAGCAGCAGCAGTGATCTGACATCTTCTATATGGATCTGGAATGGAGAGGTCCAAGATACATACAATTTTGTCTAAAATTGTAGTGGTTTCTATGGCAGTGGAATGGGTGACTCTGGCACCAACAGCTCTAATCTAGACTCTTGAGTCTGAGAGTGGTGGTGCCAAATGATTACAACCCCTTTTGCCCACTGCACTGGTTGGAAAAGAAAATCAAGATACAAAGATTTTACTGAATTACTGTTTGAGGACTAATTATTAAAATGGTTTTTGATTAATGAGTTGTGAGTGAAGCTAGTTTGGCAAATAGCATTTTGATAAGGTATTTGCAAGACAGATAGTCTTAAGATGGTACGATGAACGTAAAACACTCTAACCTTAATGATGAAGTTAATGCAGAAATGATGTAAATGTGCATGAGTAATTACTGTATGAAGTCACTGGGGTACATCAGGACAAATTGAGTACAGACAAACTCTAATCAGCACAGAATCATTGCAAAGTGAAGCTGGAAGCAATCTCAGGTAATCAGTTGTTCCATCTCCTTCTTCCATAACAGAATCAGATCTGCTCATGACATTCTTGGCTTCTTTCTCTTCCATTTTTGTTGCAGACTTTTATCTGCTCCAAGACTGTTACTGCACCTGACTCTGTCAGGCCTGCTATTGCATCTCTCCATGGTCTTCTCTTTTGAGCATCTCTTGTTCTAAGTCTCTTGATTCAGGACATGTTTTCCAGACCTCTAACTGTTACCGGTTTTCTTGCTGCTTAGTCTTTCAGCCTTTCTTGAGGAGTGGTACCAAGGACCGGATGTTCCTCTACACTGAGGCGTTACAAATACTGAGTACAGCAAAAGGACAGGCAAGATGTCTTGCAGGTAATTCTTCTGTTAATATATCTGTGTAGTGTTTTCTCTTTGCTCAGGACAATAGCCCCTGTTCAGCTTGTGATCTATCAGAACCTTCAGATCTATTTTTTTCCCAGACTGCTTTCTGCTCTGCTTTCTGTCCTCTATTTGTGCGCTTTACTCCTGCCTAAGTTAAAACACTACGCTTTGTACAACTGAGATGATTCCTGTATTTATAGACAGCTTGTCCAAGTTGTCAAAAATTTGTAATACTGCTATCCCAAATGTATTTGTAGCCACTTTTTGCAGATTTAAGCTTGGCAGATTTAATAAACACACAAACCATTGCCTCATCCAGGCTATCAATAAAATATTGAATGGAACTTATGAACAGCTGAGAAACCATTCAATTTGTCCTTTACATTTCACAGTGAACCAGTGGAAACTACTCTCAGAGTGTGGATTCCAGCCTGATTTGTGTCATGACTTCAGCCAGGGCATTCTTGCACTCATCAATGTTGTGTGGGCCTCAGTGACATTGAGGTATGTGATATCTGCTGTTGCTTCTTTATCCACAAAGTGTCATCCATTGGAGAGTGAAATTAGACTGAGTCAGGTTGTTTTGTTCATGAGGGATTCATGTTGACAAGTACTCATTTCCTTAGTTTCTGTGTGCTTAGAAATCATTTGTGTTCTTCTGGTGTTTTTCTTTTCCTGGGTGTTAAATCTTTTGGTGTCTTCATTATTCCGTTGGCCCGGAAGATGACTGCTGGTGGTTCCAGCTGTTTGAAAGTGTAAGGACTTTGTGGACAGTTGTGAAGGCAACAGAAACAAACCTTTCAGTAGGAGAATCCCTGGATCAAATGTGACCTTCCTGCGATAAAGCACAGAGACACAAAAGGTTCTCAGCAGAGTGGTGGAAGGAATATTTTAACAAAAAGAAATGATTTTATTTCAATCTGAGAATTTAGGATGCAAATCAGATGAATTTAAAAAACAGATTTCAGGCCAGCTTGAGAGAATTCTGAACAGTTTGAACTACAAGTCTGAGCAGTCTTGTAGGAATGTGGCCAGGGTTACGTGAAAGAAGTTGGGGAAACCTCAATTTTATGCTGCACTGACTTCATAATAGATTGGTAGTGAATGTTTAAGAAAGTAGGAACAGAGATTAGACTAAATTTCATAACCTTTTAACCCAGAATGCCTGGATCTCCTCAGCAAAGGGTTTTCTGAACTCTAATATATGCTCACTGTTGACACGGGCTTATCCACAGAACAGAATGACCTTTGCACAGCTCTATGAGAAGTGCGTGAATGCTAAGTTTTAGCATCTCCTATTCACTGTGCCCATGTGACTCTGAGGTTGATCTTGCCAAAACAAGATATTAGACTTTGTCTTGTAGCCTTTCTGCTGGAGTGTTTGATGCTGTGTGTATAGGAAGTGTATGTATATTTATATAAACACTCCAGTGTGTGAGTCAAGAAAAAAAGAGTATACATTGCATTAGTATGAACGATTTGCTGTTTTTCAGAAACCTTGATTTCATAGAATCCCAGACTGGCTTGTGTTGGAAGGGACCTTAAAGCTCATCCAGTTCCAACCCCCTGCCATGGGCAGGGACACCTTCCACTAGAGCAGGTTGCTCAAAGCCCTGTCCTAATTTTTCCCTCAATTCAGTATTCTAATGGGTGAAAATATGCCACTCTTACCTATGCTGTGTGTTAACAAGCCTTTGGGTCAGTACCACTTCCACTGTGCATTTTGTTATGTAGAATTATCACCATGGTTGTGCCTTGAACTGTTTGAAGATTGGACTGCTGGCAAATAAGGGAGCTCAAAAATGTCATCAGACTCCTAAACAGAGGCAGATGTAGTATTCCGTACTGGCTGCAGGAATTAGGTGTGAGCAAGGGCCCCTGGTATGACTCTTCCTTCTTTCATCCCTTTTTTTCACCATCTTCTGCCATATAAATTCCCTTCTACTTCCTGGTTCTTTACGCTTAAGGAGCTGTAGAACTACTCTAGGAGTCATTCGTGTGTGGATGCATTCTTGCTTTCTGTTATCCTTTGGTTTTGCGTGTACCCTCCACACGGCGGGGACGAAATGTTCTTGGTGATGAAGCAGAGACACATGTGTGTGTACTGAAGACGGTGTGCCAGGCAACGCAGTACGGATTTTATAATACCCAGTGAGTCATTTCTTAATAGTGAGGAGTTCTGAGTACTAACTCTAGGTGACTTCCACCACAAGGCAGCTGTTAACACATTACTATGAATTTGTTGTGGGGGAAGAATAAAATTGCATAAGTAGCTACATTTTAAAGAGACAGAAATAATAATGACATTAAAATTGGCTGAAAAAGCCTGAGCTACAGTAACAATGGAACGTTTTAAAAATAAATGGGTAGCTAGGAAGGGGTGTAGGGAGACATGCTGCTTGGAGATCACAGAGGCACCTAAGCTTGACAGTTTCTATGACTGCATGAAATGGAGAAACACAGCCAAGCCTCCGCTCTCTCCCAGCATATTCTACTGCACAGCAATCAGGTTTAGTAACACATTGCTGAGAAAAAGACTCCCACTATTTAGTATTCATTATAGATGGCATTTTTCAGATTGCAGCTCAGCAGTGTAAACAAGGCACACTGGAGGAAGAGTGGAGAACAGCATTTCTCCAAGCTCTGATTTATTTCTTGTTGATATTCACTAACTACACAAACTTATGGGAGCACCAATTTTTCGGAAGGGAAAGTAACTCTCAAACCACCACCATTTTCCAGCTTTCTTACAGGAAGCCAACACAACAGGAGGCAAAACACAATTCCTGCAGTAGGACAGGCGTGTGGCTCCCTTGTGAGGCTGAAACATCTGGTAGATTTGTTTCTGTGCATCGTGGATCTGCAGGCCTGCCTGGGTTCTGCCAGCTGCCTGCTTTAGATTCCATTTATATTGCATTTTGTAAACCTTGTCTGTGTGAGGAGGGAGCCTGCCCCATGTGTAGGGTGCTGCTCTGCTGGGACACCTTCTGTTTGTCCGGGAAGCTTTTTGCTTCCCGGACAAACCAGTGTCCTAACACGGACCAGCATCCTAAATACCATGGGGTTGACCAACCTGTCTCACGTCCAACACCAGCCAGTGACATAGCACCCAGAGAGCTGTCCTGCCTGCATGCTTGCCCTGGCAGAGAGGTGCATGGCCCATGCTGCATCCCATGGGAACTGGCCCCTCTTTTTTGGGAGTGAGGTGCCTTTTTTCCAGGTGAGCTGAATGCCAGCCACCCAGAAAAGGAACACAGCTTTTCCATCATCCATGAGTCATTAATTCCTGTGAGCCACAAGGATAGCAAGCACTGCAGGAGAGGTGGGAGCTGTGTGTAGGGAAATGCACATGGGCTTTCACCCCAAGCTCCCCATGGTCTCCCCAGAGCCTGCCTAGCAGCAGAAAGATCTGGCATGCTGAAGAAAGGCTGCGTATGACGGCTCTGCTCCATCTGTACTGCCTGTGTGAGCATAGAGAGCCTGTAATAATACAAGATCTTTCAGCTCCCATCCCTGAACAAGTGAGTTCACATCATTCTGCTGACACAGGTACAGTCTTGCTTTTGAATGTGAGTCCTCTTTTGGGAGTTGCTTCTCCACATTCCCTACCTGTCTTTTACCTGGTCCTGCTACAGCCTCCTCACAGACCCTTTTGAAAGCATGGTGCTAGAGGTTCCTCTGCCCACCTCACCCAGCATCCAGTGCCATGTCAGGGGCCTCCCCATCCTTCCCCTTCCAGCTGGAGGTGTTAGATGTACTCTTTCTTCCAAAGCCTCCCTTCTTTGAAAACACCTTGGTGAGTACCTGTATTTTTTCAGAAAGATTCATGGCAGAGTATCTTAGGAGTATTCTATTTTCCCCCACAACTATTCACAGTAATACCTACCTTAAAAATGGGACCTATTCAAAAGTACATGAGCTTCTTAAAAAGAAATTAAAAGCAGCCGCTATAAGGATGCAGAAGATGAGAAGCTGGATAAAAGCCCCCTATCTGAACCTCAGAGCAATATATCACTGAGTGAAATAATTCTACAAGGGACCAAAAGGCAATATTCTAGCAGCAGAATGTAAGAGAGTATTCGAAATCGGGATTTCTGAGCAAATAACCTATTTAAATAAAAAAAAAAAGGAAAGAAAGAAAAGCATTAACTGTGAAGCTGAAACTGTAGGGCAGACAAGGGAAGATTTTAAGGTGCAAACTCACTAATGGAGTAGTAAAAATACTAGTAAAAATGTTTTCAGAATTGCCAGGATAAGGTACTTTTTGCAGAGGTTTGATCAGCAGATGACCAGTCTCTGCAAGGTTTATTGTAAGAGAGGAAAGTTGCTGTTGGAAAGTAAACTGAAGCTTTGTGTTGGTGCTCGCTGTGGTTGAGATAGGTTATTCTCCCATGAGAGTCAAACTTATGGGGACAAGTGTAGGGAACTGTCTCAAATTAAATGACAATAAAATGCATTTTAGGACTAATTGATAAGATGAAGAGTCAGAAATTGCCAAGACCATATGGTAATCACTCAAGAGCTCTGGAGGAAAACAAATATGCAATTATGGAGCTACTATAGTATGTAACCTGTCACTTAAATCAGTCTCTCTGCAGGAGGGATGGAAGATGGTAAATGTGACAACAATCCCACAGAAGGTCCCCAGGAGCGAAGTGGAGAATTGCAGACTGACACACTGCAGTCTGTACTCAGCAAGTGAGGAGAAATTATAAGAAAATAATGATGGAACGGATAAACCCCAACATTTTAGCCTGGATTCTAGCAAAATGTCTTCACCAAAAGGGTTGTCGAGCATTGGAACAGGCTGCCCAAGGCAGTGGTGGAGTCACCATCCCTGGAAGTATTTACAAGATATGTAGATGAGGCCCTTAGTGACGTGGTTTAGTGGTGAGCTTGGCAGTGCTGGTTAATGGTTGGACTCGCTCTTAAAGGTCTTTTCCAGCCTAAATGATTCTGTGATTCTATATCAGGGAAAGTTTTTCTAGTGAGAAACCACATTTCACAAACTTGTTGGAGCTCTTGAAACAGTCTTGAAGGTGCAACTAGGGTGGCCTAGTCATAACAACATAAGAAAGACTAGTGGGCCGACCCAGTGGTCCATCTGCCTGCACTGTCCACCTATTGTTGCTGTGACCATGGTTTTATAAGCCTTACTCATATTTTCCTTGGTGCCTTCTCTCTAAATTGAGAAGCCCCTTTAAGTGTCTCTTCCAAAGCAACAACTAGAAATCTGTTTAATCTGGTTGATGGTTCTTTACAAAACTTGTAATTGAACTGTAAAATCCCGTGCCATAGGATATTATGGATGCTCAAAGTTTACTTGTTCTCTGGGGGTAACAGGAAAAGTTAATGGAGAGAAGTTAAAGCATAACCTGTTAAATAGTAAAACCAATGATCGTGACTCAAAAAGTCCCAAGACACATATTGTTAGAAACCAGAATAATATTCCAGGAAAGCACCACTGCATACCTGACATGTTCTTAAACTCCTTCCCCAGGCATCTCTATTGAAAACCAGATGCTGCAGTAGAGGAACCTTTGATCTGACCCAGTGCAGTTCGTGTGCTTCGTTATGTGCTGTCAAAATCAAATGAAACATGGGTATGAATGTAAACACTTTTGATGGCACCGCTGAACACTGAATAGTGAACGTTGAACTCATCTCCCCACTCTACAAGCAAACAATGAATTTTTATTTGAATGCTAATGAAGATCTCACCACGGTGCTGCTGGGTCTCATCTAGGAATATAAAAAGAAAAGCTGGATGGCGGAAATAAAGAAAGGATCTTTAGAAAGGGATGTAAATGTATTGCAAATATTGATGTCATTAACCAGTCACAGGTCAAAAATATACTTGAAGCTACTAATGTAATATGAAGTAGATAAACAAGTAGGAAGAAGAAAGTCTTCTTACAATTAGTGCATCTGTTCTGAACTGAAAAGAAGAAATGTGTATTTCCTGTATCACTTTAACTCCAAATAAGCCAGGGTTTGTAGTCAAAAAGCAGGTCTTCCTACAGCCATCTAATCTATTCCTGATCTCTTTCAGTTTTTGAGTCAAAGCTGAGGCAAGCTTCTTTTACAAATTGGTGTTGCAGTCTTCTAAAAGAGCTGTTCCTTGCCAGGAGAATATTACATAGAGTTCTGAGAAAAATGCAGGGAGTCAGCTTGTTTGAGAGCTAACTGATGCTTACTCACAACACTGATAAGCCTGACATTTACGGAAGAGTGCCACAATTCTCAGTCCAATGAAAAATCCCAAGAGGATGTTTTTTTTCCCTCAGTGATGCTTCACATTCTATTGACTCAGGATAAACTGGAGTCTTCTCAAGTGTTTTACCCAACAAAAATAATAATGTGAAATCCAACTCCTCCGCTTGAATTACGTGCAGATGTACTGGCTTTCCTTGGCATATTTATTAATGCTTGTGGTATGTTTAATGATGCTCTACGAGATGTCAGTGCCTTACATGTCATATTTCATTCCGGTAGTGTACTAAAAGCAGTTATGCAAGAGTTCTTGGTGCCTTGATTGCAATTACAAAAATTATGCTTGGAATAATGCCACTTTGCACTTCCATAGGAAAGCCAAAGCTTGTAGTAAATACCTGTTTATGATATTAGGCAGTTTTGTGGCTGTTAGTGGTGTTGCCTGTTGGTCTGTGCTTCGCCTTCCTGTAGCAACCATAATACCTGTCCGTGCTGGATTCTTCAGGAACAGGCCCTGCCTGAAGAAGCCTGTCAGAAGGCTTTTGAATGTTCAAGTAGATTATGTCAAGCAGTTCCCTTTTGATCATTATTATAAAGATATGTTCAAATGATTCTGAAACATTACCGATGCACAACTTTCACTGCAGACACTGTGATAATTAGCTCCCACCATATCATATTCCTTATCTAGGAGTTCCGTTATTCTTTTAATTATCTTTTTGACCAACTCTCAATGTACAAAGCTTATTTCTCTGCGGCTCATCTTTTAAAATAGACAAGAAATCCAAATAGTGGCTAAGAATTTTCTGACAAAATTGTTTTTCGGGGGGAGGGAAAATTCTTATCTATGAAAACTTGAACTTTTCACAGAAACATATGTTCCAGATGCCAGGAGTTGAAAAATCCATCACTTCAGGTGGTAGTTTGTTCCCAAATTTAATCATCACTGCTGTTAAAAAATGTGTGTTTCATTTCTGGTTTGAATCGTTTTCATTTTTCAGCCCTTAGTCTTTCTTCTCTCTCTGCTAGATTAAAAAGTGCTGGTTGATATTTTCCCCTTGTGAAAGCATTTACGGAATCGCCCCACAATTGAGCTGTTTAAGTTTCTCAGTTACGTGTTCTTCTCTCCTCATATACTTTTTTATGACTCTTTTCTGCCCCCAATCTAATCTTTCAACAACTTTAAATGTGAACATCAGAATCAGATATAGTAGTGGTTTTAGTGATCCTGTACCCAGAGGTTGAACGGACTCCTTATTTCTAATCCCTTCTCCTATTTTATCACACTTTTACCTTGAGCATTTGTGGTGAGTTCCTTGCCCATTAAGACCTCTGAAGTCATAAGCGTTGCACTCCAAGATGGAGTTTTCTGTTCTGTAAGAGCAGCCCATATTCTCTTGTCGGTTCACTGACTGCCTCTTCTTGAGCTCACTCCTCTTGTACCTTGTATAATATTAAGTAGGGAACAGCTTCTCTCTTCTTTGATGTTCAGGATCTAATACTTCTAAAAGCAGTCACACTAGCTCCTATAAATTGGTTCTCTAACTCTTTTTTTTCCTTTGTGCCATTATATCGATTTATTTATGAATAATAGAGGTCCCCATGTTTAGTATTCCACCTCTCAACAGGAAGCACTCAGTCTTTCTCTGGTGAGTGATGGGATAACTTTACTCATATATTTACATTCTTACTGCCAGAGAGGTTCAGTGTGTTGTCTTTTCCAGTAAAATTTGAGTCTGACTAGATTCCTTAGAACATTTTCTTTGATATATATAAAAAATTTCATTCAGTTTTATAACTTAAACTATCTTTTCTGTAGTTTGTGGCCACATATTATGGTGTATTATCAGTTCTGTTTGGTTTGTTACTGGGATTTAATATTTTCTGCTACGGCAAGATGTGATTTTATGACCTGTTTTTTTTTTTTAATTGACAGCCCCCCCCCACCCCCCCCCCCCATTTTCTATACATGTATTTATAGCTCTTAATTTGAGGGACACCTTTGTTTAGCTTCTTAGTCCAATGTCATTTTGATATAATAAGTCTTCACCTCTGAAATGTTGCTATCGCTGTTCTAAGCTTTTTCTCTGAACTCGCTGGATACACAGAGTGTTTTTGTTTTACCAACCCTTAGCAATCTGCTTGCCTTAGCTTATGACAGATTTCCCCCAGCTCCCACTTAATTAAACACATCAGATATGTTTTCCTTGTGAAAAGTCTGATTTCACTTTTGACTTGTGATGGAGACCATCACCTCCAGATAGCATCTTCTTCCCCTCTGCCTAATTAGAGTTGTGTGTGTAACTGGAAGGATTTCATAGAAACTGTCAACAGTACCCCGGGGCTAAATCTTCTAACCAGCAGTCTGACTTTGCCTTCCAGGATTCTTCAGTTGCATTTCCCTTTAAAATCTGTGACATGCAGTAAGACCTCATGCGCCTCTCCAGCACTTTCTAGCATCCACCTAGATGTCTCTTGAAAGACCCCTTCATATTCTGCCTGTAAGTCAGCAAATCTGTCATCACATGTGTGGCTGCTGGTGTGCTCCTGGTATTTAAATTCCCATCAGCAGAGCAGACCAAAAGTTCTTGACTGAAAATGTATTTTCAGATATAGCCTTCCTAGAGTTGTCAGCTTGCTTTTCCTCAGCTGGAAGGCAGCTTCCTGCCACGTTAATGGTATGCTGTGCTATGCTAAACTATCCACTGTGAGAGGAGGCTGAGCCTCCTCAGAGGTGAGAGGAGAGCAAGCAGTCTGAGCTTGGTCTGGTCCCTTGTGTCCTTTTACACTGTTTTTGTGCCTTATGTTTGTTCTCTATTTGTTTCTCCAGATTAGAAGCTCTGGCCTCAGCCTGCTCTGGGTGTGTGCTGTGAGAGCCATGTGGGCAATGAAGACAGTAGCTGAAGCAATTACTGAAGCATTAGTGACTACCCTGGAAGCTCTCAGAAGGCAGGTGAGATCACTGAGTATTACAGAAAGGCAAACACAATTTACTTTTTTGAAAAACAGAAATTGGGGAATTAGAAGCCACTGTTCCAGCCATAAGTCTGAAAAAAACCCCAATGATCAATTTAAAGCAAACAGAAGATAAAAAGGAAAAAAGAAGGGAAAAAAAGGCATAGATTTACCAAGAATTAATTGTGCAGTCTTACTCTAATTTCCTTCTTTGAGAAAATAATGTCTAGTAGATGAAGAGGAGGCAGCAGATGGGACATATTTTGCTTTAGGAAAGCTTTTGAAACTGTTCCACATGATTCTCTCAGAAGCAGACTAAAGAAATATGGTCTAGATCAGTGTGCCCAGTATTTCTGGCTGGGTGAGACACTTACCTTGTTTCTGTATAAGGGAGAGACCATCTGTTGCAGCCCTTCCTCTAATGCGTAAGTGTATTGTGCAAGCGTAGAAAAGCCAGTGCTTCCTGGGGCAATGAGATTTATTGCATATGTGCAGACAGGATCATATACTGCCATGATCAGAGGCACTGAGTGTGCTCCCAGCAAAGGTGGCCCGCAGTGTTCTCAAAATAGCCCATTCAGCAGGCAGCCCTCCTCCCCGTGGACTCTAGTCTGAATGCAGAAAGGAGCAAGGGAGACCACAAGCAAATTTATTATGGTGCAGTTCATAGCTTGAGGTTCATCATTTAGAAGGTATATGATATTGCTGTAATGTGTGTGGTGATGGTGCACAGTCAGACTGGGAGGTTATTTCGACTGGAGTCCTGCTGGTATATGTCCTGGGCCCAGTTCTATTCATTTCTTTAATTAATGACCTATATGGTTTAAAAAAGAACTCACACATAAAATATGTAGATAAAGCAAGATGCACTTGGAAGGTCAGGATCAGACTTGTGATGATCTTGAGAAACTGGAGAAAATGATCCATAAATCAACAGCATGAAACAGAAAGAATCAAGTGCTGTGTGGCACATTTATGAAAGAGGGAGCAAATACCAAGATACAAAAATAGGTATAACTGACTGTCTGGAGTATGCCAGGAACAAGATATGGGAATTAGAGAAAATAAAAAATTAAACATGAATGAGCAATCAAAGACTCACACTGGGAGGTGTTAATGAAATGTATTATTAAACATGGGAGGAAATCTTATTTTCTGCACTGCTGTTGAGACCTTTGCTGGGCTTTTGTGTCCACCCCTGGTGCTAGAGGGAGCTGGTGGTGTGAATGATGTGGGTACTGACCACAGAGGAGTGAGTAGGAAAGACATTTTGAGAGTGGCATCACAGTGCTATAAATTGTCACAGTACCAGACTAGCAGATTTTTAGTGAGCTAGGTTTTGCAAGAAAGGTAAGCTTTATAAATCGATGTGAGACTAGATTGCAAACTAGGTTTTAACATTCAAAAACAATGAGGTATTTTTATAGTTCACTCTCCAAACTCACCAAATAAGCAACAGCACATGGTTCAAGAGAAATAAGAAAATTCTTGTAATTTAGAAAAATGGAAGGAACTGAAATCAATAACATTGAGGAAGGAAATAGCAAAGAATGGTCTCAGCAATGAAAGTCCCAGCTAAGCAGGCCTTATGAAAAATGGGCAACGAGATCAATAAAAAATGTAGAAATATACCTATACAAATGCTGCAACTCTGAAGCCTAAAAGAGGTGAACTAGACTGTCTGATTTTAAAGGAAGTTATTGATATAATAAATGCCTCAGAAACTTGGCAGAAGGGTAGGAAATGGTAATAATAAGGAACAAATTATTGAGGAAGGCTGGGAGGGGCTACATTAGTGGTGAAGCAGTGGAGAGTATGAGAAATTGTCCCTAAATGAAGTTTCAGCAGAGGACATTTTGGAACAAATCAATAAAATGAACAGTAAGAAAGCAGGAAGATAAGATGATACTCAATCTAGTTCTGAAAGACTTCAAACACTAGATTAAGAGAAAGCTAAATGTAGCATGAAAATTGTCATTTAAGTTAACCACACTGCAAAAGGGATAGAAGTGGCAAATGTGTCTTCAGCCTTGAGAAGAAGGCCTCCAGGACAAATGTAGAAACCCACAGGTCAGTAAATCTCACTCCCAAACTGAATAAGTGGGCAAAAACTACAATAATAATGAAGAGAATCAGTAGACAATTTCATAAATGTGATTTATTTGGTAAAAGTCATTACAGTTCTTGCAGAAGGAGATCATGTCTTATAAATCTGTTTGAAGATGTCAACAAGCTTGTAGGTAAGGCTGATCTAGTTGATAAAGTACGTACAGACTTCCAAACAAATGTGAATAAGTCTTTCTGCAAAGACTCTTAAATTAGTTAAGCTGAGATAGTAAGATGTCCTCTTGTAAGTAAATAAGATGGAGACAAAATGGGACAAGAAGTGGTAGAAAAAGGAAAAAGATCAGCTTTCCCAGTGAAAGGAGCTCTACAGTTTAGTCACGCAACTGTTTGATTTAGGACCTATTTGATATCCTTATAAATGATGTGGAAAAGGGGGTGAATATTGCAGTGGCAAGGTTTGTGGATGGCACCAAATTAACTGAGAGTATCAAATCTGACCCTGAGAAGAGAGGCAGATGGTTCTCATGGCAGTGAGGGACTGTATCAGAAATGGCATGTGAAAGTCAATGCTAATAAATGCAAATTAGCTTGTCTGGGAATATACATATTCAATTATATGTTATACTTACTCAGTTACAGCTTGAATGTTATATTATTATCACTCAGAAATAGAATTGCGGTAGGATAACTCTGTGAAAACACTGATGCAGTGACCACAGCAGTACAAAATTCAAACTGAATGAGAGAAATTTTTAGGAAAGGGAAAAAAGGAAAAACATGATTATGTGATTATGTCACTGTATAAATGTTTGGCAAACCCACGTACTGATTAATACATGCAGTTCTGTTCATCCAGTCTTCAGAAAGAATAAAATAGAACTAAAAAGGATGGGTAGGAGTTGTTTTGCTCAGACATCTAAATTTAGGTTTCTACCTGTAGATGTCAATCTGTGAGGTAGATATCTAAGCTCCAACACGGAATCAAAGCTTTTTAATGTGAATTCCATCCTGAGGAAGTGGATGAGGACAGAATGGTTTTCGTATCAGGACAGAGAAGATAGTCAGGCATGGGACAGAGAAGATAGTCAGGCATGGGACAGAGGTCTTGAGATCTCCTAGCTAGCTAGAAAACAATGAAGAGGGGGTGGCTATTATTTTTAAGAACAGGAGAGGTTAAGATACCCCATGAAATTATGAGGCATGAGGTCTAAACCAGAAAGCCATACATTCTCATGGAACTTCTTATTAAATTGTAGAACTTATTGCCAGAGGCTGTTGTGTAGGTCAAAAGCGTAAAGGAATAAAGAATTTCTGGAAGGCTGATGGGAAGTCAGTGTCCTGCCAGACAGTATTACAAAGGCTAGTTCAGCTGTTAAAAGCCAGGCAGAAGTACAGTGGAAGGACTCCAAGGCAGCTAAGTAGGACAGTACAGGCAATTTATAGGCTGGAATGGAGACCATGGGTGAGAAACTGGTGTGCACCCCACTAGTGGGGTGATCTTCTTGTGGTCGGTGGGCCACTATGAAGAGAGATCCACAGCTGGGATCTTGAGAGTGGAAAGTGTGGTATATTCCCACGTAAACTGGGGGAAGGAGGGAAAATGAGGGAGACTGGTGTTAGCCATAAAACAGTGGCTGTTGGCATAGGTAATGCCCAGAATGTGGAAGTAAGGAGGAGTGTTTGCAGCTCATGATCTTCAGCACCTCAGAGGTGACTGAATGTAGAAAACCCTAGAAGCCACCAGCAGTACAGCTGTTCCCAGGCTGGTAACACTCCTGCCTGGGCTTGCAATGTACATCCTAGAATTCACTTGCTACCTCTAGGCTTTACTAGAGCAATGCCTTAGTGGTGTTTGAAGACTTAATTTGCTAACAACCACATTCAGCCCAGTTCTGGCCAAGCTCCCTGGCTTTACTGAGTTGTTACCAAGGTTGCAGATGGGAACCTGAATGACCAGTAATGACCCAAACGTGGACAGTTTTAATGGTTTGTCTCAGAGAAGTAGCTATGCAGGCTGCGGAGGGTAAGGCTGGAGAACACCTTGAGCTCTTCAGGATGGGGGAGAACTGAGTTATGAACATAGCTACCACTGTAGATAAGTATAGTGTAGTATAAACTTTGTATAGAGGTCCCAAACTTTCCACTTCAGTCCTGCTTTCATTTTCCATTTTGTTTGGATATATTTTCATCATTCATTCTGTGCTTTAGGAAAATACTTGTTTCTGTTGTGTGTTACTCTCCTGGCTGTTCCCAGGGTGTTTCCACTTGGCTCTGAAATGGTTGCAGGTATTTTCTGTGTGCTTTGGCAGCCATGAATTTGGCTCCACAGACCTCAGAAGGACTTGGAGTTCTCTGGAAAGCAGTGCAACTCATCTGCAGGGAGCAAACACAGAGAATGATGATTCAATGAGATTGGTAGCACTACTTCAAAGCAGAATTGGAATCTAATGCAGCTGGGTTTAAAATACACTTCAGGATTACATCAGAAATAATAGTAGCATCAGAAGTGGAAACCTTTAAATGAGGGTAAATCTGATGGCAACTTTTGCATCCTTTATTGTAAAGCATGCTGAGCTGCGGTATAGTAGAATCCATTAGTACTTTGGGGATATATTTATTTATTTGTTTTTAAGTTGGGAACTATTCATTAGCTCCAAGTGAAACTTACTGTAAGAGTTGTGCGAGTGCTGGTGGGAGTTGCTCTTGCAGATGGAAGAAGTACCATCGTCTCCCAAAACACCAAAGGCCTGAGCCTCATGTCCATGGTAGCAGCATCCCACTCCTGCAGGAAATTCCTGCTTTGTTAAGCACCAAAACCAAAGACCATGATCATGATGAGTCTGCCCAGGAACTGGGACAGAGAATAGGGCTGCCTAAAAAAAACACATTCCCCAAACCTTGGGTTATGCTTACCTAGGATCCACCTTGAGC